ATCGTAAATAGAAAAGAGGGTGAAGAACGGTCTTAAATCGGCCGAGTTGACACTAGGTGGTGTGCAGTTATCGACGAAATCATCTGGGTATAATAGTGCGTAGCCAAAGTAGAGTTAGATCCAATCAACCACCCCCAACCCCATCCCAAAACCAACTGCCCGGCACCCTTTGGCGGCCACAAGTAAACGAAATCTGTGAACGACCCCAAGAGGAATTTTCTATTGAGGTGTACTAGACTGAAAAAAACAAGGACGACAGATCCGGGTTCATCATAAAGACTAATGCTCCCCCCAGCCAGTCTATCGTAAATGTTAGTCATCCCCACTAACCAACAAACACGAATATCAGACTGAACACTCAGCACTTATCAGGTCGGCTAGTCATGAGAAATCGTAAGGATTGGTTCTCTGACAGCCTTAAAACCCAATCAACCTACTCACTCACTCACTTGGCCTGAGGAACCTTTTGTGTCGAAAGCGAAACGTTGCTCAGCAATAGATTCACCAATTGTTTACCAAAACTCTCTGAAACGATGACTTCCCAATCGGGCCCAAACCTTTTCCAACCGGCTGATGAATTAGTTCATTTCTCAGTGGAATCTTACCATCTTAACAAAATGACCTGGTTAAGTGCAGGCTTTTCCTTGAGTCCAGTAAGCTTAAACTTTTTAAGGCGGTGAACTCAAACAAACTCATTCGGGGATTCGGTATGTGCCCTTCAACTATGTGCATCAACACGGGCATGCGCAGCACCCCTATAACGGTTTTAGAGAAGTCGGTGTCACGTCAGGATTATCAAGTTGTTTGTAATTAGTATATTTCAAAGGGCCTGCTTCTAGATGTTTTCCACCACTTAACAGTGTACGCTTGTGAGTCTGATGGGCCTGCAACTGCCAGGTGCTGGGCGTTCACCAAATTTGAACGTTAGTGTGACGGGCAAACGCTATCTTTGAGTGGCGACTAACACCAGAACCTCCGGGAAGGCAAAACAAATTCGGAGGTGGGTTTCTATACTGTACTATCAATGCTAGACAAAAACATGAATTGCACGAACCTCGACAGTAGATACTCGTCCAAAATGCATGGTCCAGTTGGATTACAAAAGTACGAACCAAATGAGCAAACACGCCTCCACGTGAGACAGTCACAAGTGCACAACGTCGGTCGCAAAAAGCTGGGCGACCTCAGGGCCAAATAAGCGGAATGGTAAGGACGAACAAACTCCAGTTCATATACACGCACTGAACACAAAAATGGAGCGGGGGTTACAAATAGCAACAGAATAAACGTGGAAAATTTCAAATGTCAACATAATGGATGATACAGTTAGCCTGAATATCATTCCACAAAGATAGAACGAAGGTTGCGTTCATCAAGGGACTTAAATCGTCCTTATAGTTTCTAACTAAATTCTGCGATTCTAGGAAGGATTTTGTCTATCCCCAGCCCACCGAAAGCCCCGTCTTGCGCAAAAGTTCACGAGCATCTGCCTTCCTGAATTCGGAGCTATTTTACGGGCTGTTCGAAATGGGCCTTGCAAAGTTCGGTCGTGATGCTGCCGATAAAGCGGATAACAAGCATCCATATTGTTTTCCGTGGGCTAAAAACACCACTAGCTGGTCAGTCGTGGGTTCCGCGTTACGGTGTCCCAAACTGAAGGCTTCAGGATTTCTGTTTGGCAGCGTCTCATGTGCATAAATGGAGTATGTTTACTGGAGATATTCTTCTCCTGCACTTTGTAATACCGGATCTCTTGTTTGAAGAGGCGCTAAATTTCACAAGATCCAAACTCTATCCCAAGTCCCCTGCGTAACCATACGAAGAATATTTGCGTCCTCCTACCCGTTCGACACCGATTGATTGTGGTGTTCCATGGCTCGTGCGACCACACACTGGTTACTTTGGAACGGGAAAAATGGGCTACGTGAGCTTCCTGGTCAATTATCCCGCAAGCCTCCTCAAATAAAGATAGTCTTTGTGGGGATCGGCCGGGGAGGATGCGACTTTCCTTAGGGGCGGGCAGGTCGGAAGTTTGAAATCCGCGTTTGAGACCCGGAACTTGCAGCCTCGTGGCAGATGTAATCAAATGCACACATCGGCGACCACGTACCAACAGATCCTCGACCATAGCCCGATCGTTGAAGCGGCTCCCGCTGGTGGTGATCGAATGTATTGGGGACGCAAGCTGGCCTACATGGCATCCGATTGATTTGTTAATATTTTGAATATAAGTGCTCGGTTACACGGTCTCCGTCAAAATTTGCATTGAACCCAACGTTATGGAACTGCACAGAGAGCTAAATTTAACTATTTGGAAGGGATCCTTAAAGCGCTACTCGGAGAGATTTTCTCGGGGAGTGGTATGGAGGACAGGTTGTTTTCCGCTTGGCTTGAGTTGCAGCGGTGGGCGACGGTGTAAGGAATGAAGTCGGTCTTGTGTGGTGGAATTTGTGTCATTGGTTCATCACATAAGGGTGCTGAAGTAGGCTCGGAGAGGTATTCGGAGGAGTAGGTCTGCATTCAAACACAGAGCAAACCTGGCCATCTTCCTTTGGGGTTAGCTCGGAAAATGGAATAACAGATTTCCGGGATATCGCCGCCAGAAATATCAGCTGTGAGCATGATTTTTGCATTTACGACTTCGGCGCTCGTCCAAGAAAGGCCGATTGTTAAACACCAGAAAGCTGGCTAAAAAGACTGAAGAAGTTCACGCACCGAGAACCCAAAGCTATTTCTGCTGCATTCTGGGATGAGGAGCGGAGCATAATTTTGTCCAGGTAGACTGAACTGTGGTTGTGGTAACTTCGCTACCTTCCGTGATGTCAAAGTCAACATTCGTAGTCGATAACTTGGTTGAGTTCACCCTTTGCTCTTTGTATTTACCCGAGCATTCCTGTGGCATGTGAGTTTGCGTTCTACCTCTGATTTGCGGTCAAGAAAGTTTTAGCACCCTTACTCTAGAACCGGCGAGACCCGGTTTTTGTGGCTGCAGGTTTAAAGCTTCATTGTTGTTGGAGAGATCTCAATATTTATGAACCGGCCTAAAGCCCTTTGCGCGCCAGTTAGCGAACAAAGATTTAGAAGAGGTTGGATGATTGTTCCTTCCCGCCCATCCTTTCTGCGGGTGGGAGACCGTGCTCAGCTTTGAGAGAACAACAAGAAGAAGCGATTTCGCAAATTTGGTAAGGTCATCTTGTTGAAACGAGGCTCGCATCATGCTCCTAGTTTCCCTATGTTGTCCTGTCTGTAAGTGACAAGATTTGTGTCATGACCGCGTGAGAACTGGATTATCTTCTAGGCTACCGACGGACCCGATATGTACGCTTTCGGAGAAAAAACTTCGTTGTATTTTTCCATCCAGTCCTTTAGTTGCTTTGTGCCTATTCTATCGAAAGCACTTGGATTAAATGACAGCTTGTCCTTGGTTGCTCCGTTTATGAAAGATTAATTGCACTAGAGTTCCAGACATGGAAGCCAGGGCCTGATTTTCCCGTTGACCGGGGTCTTTTCTTTGTTAGAATGCTTATGATTCCTAAGTCAAGACAATTGGCCCGGAGAGAAGTGTCAGGAGAGCCATGCGCCCACTTTACCCGGTCATCCTGCTAACGCACACGTTGAAAATGGCACCGAGTTAGGCAATCGTGATACTGCATTCAAAGTCTTTACTGTAATTGCAGGTCATCTTCATCTGCACCCGTTATTGTTTCTAGACAGATTTAGCAAGGAGTGGACTTTCGTAAGCTGGTTAATTTTTGTTTGCATGAGGGTGAAAAGCAGGACGGAAGTACGACCTGATAAGGAGGTTCTCACGTACAAATTATACCTGAATGGACTACCTGTTGACTCCGTTGTTGGCCATCGGGTTAGCATGCGCGAGCATCGAGGTTAATTCCCGAAAGCCGCTGAAGCTGGTTGGATAATTGAGTAAAAATTTACTTAGAAGAGGCAAGGTTCAACCACAGGGGTTGACGCCCCACGAAAACATGTTCCTGACTATTTTTCACAATGAAGAACTCCAGAGGCCATATGTGGCGGAAGCACTTCAAACCGACAATTCCATAATAAAAAACACAAAATCGAACAATGACGACTACCGTCGCCAGAAGGAAAGAAGCCTACCATTTGATTTTTTGTGAAAGACCTGAAGACCGAAGATAACTGCCGTTTCCTTGAAGGACGAAAGCGGAAAGCGCATGAACAAAGTAGCGGAGATGGGCGATATCCGCGAGCAGCATGAAAGCGCCTAATTGGATCGGCAAGATTTATGAGCCTACGCGTCACACAGTAGTCTGGTTGGCTTTCAGGCTAATTGCAGCATATCACATTGCTTGCGGATATTACCTATCTCCGTAAATTCTTTTATGTGCTATCCGTTTTCTTTCTTCATGGAAACAGCTATTTTCTTCGGACTTCGGGGGTTTCACACAAAATAGGCGCTCAGTGTTCGCACAATGAAACTGAAATTTCAGAAGCTATCACGTGTTCTTGATGGACTAAAGCAATCAGGAATTTGCGTTCAGAGTACCGGTCCAAACTTATGAGTCCCATTAAGGCAACCGGGGGTCCCAACGATGATGGGAAATTAGTCCACAAGACTCCTGCTGGAGGTATGATAATTTCAATGGGCAGTGAAATTTGGTGAGCCGAAAAATATGGGCGTAGATTAGGATAGTTTTTGGTTTGCGCTCATACGCAACAAAATAAAACATTTTCGCTCAAAAAGATTCACCCCGTTTGTGAGGGTTCTTCAACTAACTGCATTGTGCTGCTGATGGGCCCTACCTCTAATTTTTACAACGAGCGCCCAAATTTATGATGTTGCAAACGTGTTCTGTAACTTGACTCGCACCTAGAAACCAGATTCACAATTGAATAAACTAATTATCGGAATTTTTGCGACATAGTTTAGTAGTTGCGTGAAGTTGTGTGTGTTTGTTTCTCGCGTTCGATAGGCTAGAAACGGGCGCCCGATTTGGTTCACCATTGTTGCTAGGTTCCTCATGGACTCTCCGGTAGCATCCAATGGCTATAGGACTCACGATTCTCCTCGGGGGAGGCGGTGTAGCCGTTCACCCTCACGTTCTCGGTCGAGGTTAGTAAATTCCAAAAAAACTCATTTTTCAGGTCACGATCTCGCCGCTACCGCAGCCGCAGTGGCAGTCGGGACTACAGTCGCAGGAGCCCCGGTTACGGGTACCGCAGTTCCAATCGCCGGTAAGTGACACGGTATGCGTTTAGCGCTGTGCACCTCTTAAGTTATGGATGTAGTCACGGGTGTGCACTGCATGAGCTGACTTGGACATGAATCAGGAGGTGTTTGTGTGAAATAAGAGTAAATCGTTAAGCTGTAGCACCTTTGGTGTGTCTAGTCATGCTAACGGAATGAGGAAGTAGCAGAAAAGCACCCCATAGATCCATTGGATGATGTCTAGTCGTGTCAATGTGAAAACGGGAGTGGATCATCACTGACGATAACTTGGAGAGCAACGTTTCAGCAAAACTAGGTGATAACCCGGCGATTAAAGTTATCACCGATCTGGGAAGGCAAAGTGACTGACGTGGAGTCTCCTCCCAGGTGAATTCAATAAATGTGATTCATAAGGTATCCTCACAAAAGCCGTGGAATCGCGCAACGCGCTGTTCTAGCCGACGGAAGCCAAGCAGAGAGCTTGAAGTATTTTGACCAGCTGCTGGTCGTTGAGTGCGAATAGTGGTGAGCTACGCAAAGATTTCTTTGCACTTCGTTAAACGGCGTGAAGTTCGCAGGGATTTCGAAGATTTCAAGGAAATGGGATAGAATAAGCCGGAGTGTTATTTGGTAAAGAAACCATCTGTCTCAGGCGGATATAGCAAAATCCCTCGTCGTTCAACACGTGGAATTCTTGTTTTCTAGCCTTGGAGTTGGGTCCCCATCCTACGGAACAAAGTTCTTTTTGAGTCACTAAGATCGTACCCGAACTGGGCGCTACGCAACCGAGACTGATGTCTTCGCAGCTGTACGGCAGCGAAGCATCATCGTTGATGTCACGCTGTTCTTGATAATGACGACGGTGACTTCGAAGCTGGTATTTATGAATATTAACATCTAGTTTGCCACAAACACTGTTTATGGTTCCATCCACTCTAACATATTGAGCCGTTATCGTTTTACTTTTTCATTAAAGCTTTCGTCCATCGCGACTGTCACCAACACAGCTTCACTTGCCCTCTCAGAGATGGTCGGTAGTCGATGTTCTAATTTTTTATCAGGAATGATATGTGACGTCTTTCCTTGGCCACCCAACTGAAAGTAGGGTGCTCTGCCAAGCCAGTAACCGAGGCCGTAAAGTCATGGATAAAAAAGCTCCTAGTAAGCTGAAACATAGCAAGAAGTATGTAACACCAGTGATACTCGAAATGGGACATAGAATACGCGTTTCAAACTGTCCAGCAAGACGTCGCAGCCAATAGGCCATTCAGTGTTGTCAGATGCACCACCTGTGTCAGGTGGTTTCACTTAGTCGCCATATCTTTATCAAATGATGCATTCAATGAAAGGCCTGGCATTAAGGATCGAGTTCTTATCTCACCATCAGGACCTCTGAAAACTCGGTAGGATGACTTAAAAATAAAAGGTCCCCTGCACTACCCCGTAAATTGTCCCGCCTGATTCACTTATCGGGAAGTTGCCCCCGAAAGCTGTCGGATAGAAGGTCGTTGTTCGGACTCAAACCAACATCGGTTTCTGGCCTTGAACAGCCTGCTATTATCGCATTCCTAGTTTTTTCTCTGGGTTAGGCATCAGCTACATCTAGACCATTAGTTGTGCAAGTATAACAGCAGCGTTTGTGACCTTAGTGTCAGTCGAAAATTCACTCCTGAGTAATTTACGGCTCAGTGTTAGATCGCGGGTGTACTAACCGGAAGGTCCGTGGTTCGAACCCTATCTCGACTTCCCCTGCCTAGACTTGGACAGCGTGGCGATATCCCAACCCTCATGCTTCTTACGGGTGGCATGGTAATTAGGTGCCGAAAGGATGTTACAGCTGAACGATTCATCACCATCACCAAAGACGGCAAAATCAGTGTTGATACTGATGCTTCACTGTCGTAGACTGAACGGTTGTCTTTATCCTTTTATCCTGAGTAAGTCAGTCGGTTAATTGAATCCTGACCGACCAACCATCGAATTTCAGAGTGAATATTTGTCCCGCAGAACTGGCTACCACAATATGCGGACTAAAACTGACATTTCAGACATGATCGCCCGTGATCGCTCTGTTGCATCACTTAGTTTGAAAAAATCAGTGTTGGTAAAAATTGATTCGTTCGACTCATGTCCTGCGCATTGTTTAGGTTATGCCAGTTAGATGCAACATAGGTCGCCATCCCTAGCCGTTCCCACCCACAATTATTTTAGCAAACTTTTCTGTTTGTCCATTCCAGGCGATTTTTAGGCCCACGCGAGAATGCGAAGCCGTCGCGTTGCTTGGGGGTATTCGGTCTATCTTTGCATACTCAAGAAAGAGACCTTTATGATATATTCTCTCGGTATGGCCCGATCGATGACGTGCAACTTGTATACGACAACTATACAGGTTTGTGATTCGTTCTATATGGATTGTCGTTTAGGTCGGTCCAGGGGCTTCGGTTTTGTCTACTTTAACCACTTGTCGGACGCGAAAGTCGCCAAATCTGAGGCGCATGGAATGGAGGTGGATGGTCGTCCAATCCGTTGTGACTTTAGCGTTACTGATAGACCTCATTCTCCTACACCCGGCATTTATATGGGACGACCAACGAGGTAAGTTTATGAAACCTCCCATCTTATCCTTACTCTCTCACCCTAACCCTTTTCCTCATGGTTTAGGACAACCTTTATAGCCACTTATATATATCATATTTATATATTTTACAAATGACTTCATATAGTGCATAGCTAGATTATTACTTCTCTTTAAGTTAGGTTGCCTGATTGACTGCCTCTCTGAAGAATCACGTTTTTGCAAGCTTTTTGCACGGATGGAGCATGTTCTGATCATGAATATGCTAACAGTGCCACTACCCCAGCGGCTATCCTTGGTAGTTTTCACTCTTTTGAACTACATTTTAGCTTCTGTTGGTCGTAAGACACCGGGAATACGGGTCGCTACTCTTCCTACGAGCACACCACCCCATGAACGCGCACTGGTGTACGATAACCTGTCACATCAGTTCCCCGTACGGAATCGTTCCGACGCTGAGCTTTTAATCATTTTGGGGATCTAGATGCGCCCGATGCGGTAGTGTATACCTGGTGATAGTTCTGGAATTTATATACCCAAGAACACAGTACCCTTGCTTCCCGCATGCACGTTCTTTGCTTTGCCAGCAACAATTAACCTCGTAGTCCTTGCGCATCCCAGTGCAAATACCACAAGGTATGGGAATGTTTGACGAGAACAGCTGGGATGACACCTCCAAAACTGGCCGCTGTATCATCCACACAATACATCGATGGGTTTCGATCCGAGTGTAGCAGTCTTCCAAAGATGGACAACGAAGGCTCAGTCCGCGAGACCTTATTGTCGACCAGTTTCAGCTGAAGTAGCATTCCATCGACTGTCTTTGTAGTTCAGGTTTCCATCTGGCCTACTAACCAAGAACGTAGCCAATTTCGTTATACGTCAGGTCTGTTCAGAACGTGCCTAAATCGTCTGGTGTCATTTTCGGGTAAATTCAGGTTGCAACACTCATTACTGAAGGTAACACAAGGATTGAGACTACCAGATCCTTATTACTTTTTTGAATTAGGTTGCCTAATCGTGGGGAGAACGTTAACAACATCTGGAAGATATAAATTGCTGTGTTTCTAGCCAAGTCCCGGGCGAGATGGCCTCTTGGTTAGAGCGCGAATCTACTGACCAGATCCGTGGTCGAACCCGCCCTCTGCCTCTCGACTTCCCAATCTAGGCTTGGGCATCGCGGCGGTCTCCCAGCCCTCGTGCTTCTTCCAGGCGGCATGATAGCTAGGCACCGAGAGGGTGTTACAGCTGCACGACACGATAGCTAAGCCCCGGGGTAGGTCATCTAGAGCCCAGTGTGGAAGGTGTACCGCATCTGCAGGGTCCGTGATATTTTCTGTTGATCACAGGTGTGACCAGGGCCAGTGGAGGATATGCTACTCTTGGAGAATAATCGACTTCTAGACATGGGGCGAATGTAGTGAAAGTAGCGGATCAGTATTACCGAGGTACGTCAGATAGTTTTAGGGTGAGCTGTACGCATGACAAATAGGCAAGTCACCGGTGTGTTCTATCACAATCGACGCACGAGGTGGAGCCATCATCACACCCTTGTGTGAAGTGAAGACAGCAATCCGGTAGAATGCTATGATATCAATAAGTGACCTTCATTGTTCCTACCATGGAGTAGCGTTAACGTGACGACGCCCGAGAGAAAAATCTCGATACGCTGTGATTTGTTCACCAAGAATAATTTCGGGTAAATAAGCGTTTTGCACCAGTCGCCAAAAATGCGCACAGGCCGTTTAAAGTTGGTGTACACTGCTGCTGCTCGTTTCCATAGGAGTTCGAGTGTATTCGGTCAGACCTATAATTAATTACGAGGCATGGCGTTAAGTATGTCCAGACGCGTATGCCGACCATTCTAATCAGGGTAGCGAAGTTTTGTGTCGTGCTCAAAAACAGCTAAAAAAGATGCGTTGGAATGCATTACCGAACACCCACCTAACTGCGCACTGATGATGTTTCCTCGTATGGTGACGAAAGGTTTGAAAGTTAAGTATCAAGCTCGGCCATCAGATAGACGGCTACCTGATTTACAACCAACAAACACGCAAATCATATAGTCTTGGGGCGGTGCTATTAGTACTTAAGTATCTGGGTACTTTAACTGACCACAGCTAAACAATCGTCTTTTGTTGGTGGTTTGAGATTAGGAAATTCTGACCAAGGTTTCGTCTTGTAAATACAGTCAGTATATATTGGCAAGTTGAGGGACACTTCAACTGCTTCACCAGCAGCAGTGTGCATCTCACGAATTTCCGGGGCGATCCGACATCTCGGCTAGGAGATGACTTTTAAGCCGCTACGATTGGCTTATTAGCAGTGCTTCTTGCTCGCACGCTGGATTAACTGCAATGATTTATGCGGTATGTCATATACGGAACTCTGAGATGCAATTAATGTGATTGAATCGAATGCTTTTCTCGCTGTCTTCCCGTTTCCGGCTGGTCACCTCTGTTGGTGCGGGAGTCCCTGTCGCTGGGTATTCTGGAATGGTTAAAGTTTTGAGCCATCAAGTGGAACCGCCTTCTTGTCTGGCTACCTTTTCACGATCGTTTCTGTGCAGTTCGTTTGTCAACGTGTGTTAAAAAAACCCGAGAGAGGTCAATCGCTTTCTGTTTATTGTATCGTCTTTCATCCCGACCTACCAGGTGGTTGAAGCTCAGACATCGTTGTAGTGTGGTAACATGAACTCAGGTAGGTAGGCTCAGCGTTGCTTAAGTCGGGTATCGTAGCAACGTCATATGTACATGTGATCCACAATCTTGGTGTTTCTTGCCTCCAAGAGTGCGATAAATTATGTAAATCGGTCAATGCTTCCACCCAAAGAGACTCAACAGGGGATTTAGAAGCTTGTGGACATAATGCGTCCCGTCTATTCACATAATTCCGGGCGTGAGGGCGTCTGGTGAGCTGTCTAAAAGTTTTCTAATAAAGGGTGTTGTTCGGAAAGGATGTACAGTCTCTTCGTTCTGGTTCAACTTCACGGATGTAATAATGAGGCAAGCGCTTGAGGATCTTGAGATCCACGCTGTTCAAGCTGTTGCCTGTGAGGGCCTTGTCGATCTGGATTGTGCAGACGACGTCACTGTCTTCGAGGAGGAAGTCCAAACGCTAGCTCTGATGAATAAACTGACCACTATCTTACAGTGTGTGTAATGCTTCAGAACGTTTCGTCTGAACATTTTCCGTGCAATTCAAGGAGTACGTGAATCGAAATTCTGGGTTACGTTTGCCAATTTATGTCACTTGTGTAGTAAAAAGGGTGTATCACTGGGTCTCATGGGTTGTGCGTGTAGGCTACATTAACGTCCATGTTGCACAGTTGGGAGACATGGTTTCTGTGGACAGATGATCTGAAGCGTCTCCAGGTTTATAGCCACCGATGACTGAGAAATGTTGCTGGTATTGTGTGGCGTCAACGGATTAGTAACCAGGTAATTAGAAAGCGGCTGTTGGTTGTGGTGCAGCTGCCTGTAATGACTCAGGTTATAAACCAACGACACACTCGCCAGGTAGTCCTTTCGTCCATTTTCATTTCATTTGGATTAGATCGCTGGTCAGTTTAAATAGGCTTTCTGTGACATGTGCTCACCTTCAGTGCACATTTGTGCAGGACAGTCTTCCGCGCTTGTGCAAATTTCAATGCATGAGAACTCGTTTTGTAGTCTTTACTAGTCGTGTTCTCGTGTTTCTTACCAAACCCGGTATCTGAAATGTTTCTGTCGGTTGATTTAATTATGTCCTATACTTGAGAGGATAGAGATAGGGTTCTCCTGTTGTATGGTTTGTCCAGCCAAAGGCGACGGGTTTTACCTACCAATTGAATGGTTAGTGTTACATTGAAACCTAGTTTTTTGTTAACTGGATGATGGTTAATTTTCGAGCATACACGTAAACAATGGCAGTTTGGTTACGTCTTGGTTTTTCAGACGAGGTGGTCCTCGACGACGTAGTATTTCTCCTCGTGGTCGTTATTCCCGTTCGAGATCCCGTTCCCGCAGTTATGATCGTAAGTAAGCCCCAGTTGTTCGAGGCACCCAGACTCCAAACTTGTGCGCAGAGTTGCTGCCGCAGCCCGTTTTTATTCACCGCATTTTTCACTTAGCTTTCTGCGTATTCGCCTCTGAGACTCATGTTGTCATTCATTTCTGTATCTAAATAAAAGTTATTGTTCATTATCCTGACAACGCTTGTTTTTCTTTTTGCAGTTGTGAGAATATCGCTCCTATAAGAACATAGAATGCCTTCACTAAGAAAACTCACTAAAAGAAGATTGTTCTGAGCGCGGATGAGAAATGAATTAGCAGAATCCTGAGAAGTCAATCCCCGAAAACCTCGACCCCAAATAGAAATGAAACTGAAGCTAAATTTGATGAGAAGCCAATGTCACACGAATCCGGAGTGAAATCCGACCCCGGGTAATATGGAAACAGCTGACAGCTGCTCGAAGTTTCACACCGACTGGTTGTCACGTCAGCCAATCGGAGCTAACGTACGATTCAGGCGAATTTCTCATGCTGAACTCTTCTGAAGAAGGCTTTTTGCTCCGATTTTCCCGGGCGCCCTTAAGGCTGAAGTTCTATTCAGTGAACACAGCGGTGTGTAGGGCAGTGTTCAGTAAGTGGAAGAAAACATCTTATACCAGGTGGAGTGTTTTGTACTCAGCGATTATCATTCAATACCTGGCTTAATTGGGCACAAGAACGAAAGGTCCTTGTAGTCTTTATATCATTATTCACTTTTACACATACGTATTAGATATATCAGAATATGACGGTATCTCCTCAGATTTAGCAATCAGGTACTAGTCAGAGTCAGTCATCTAAAGATGGGTTTGAACCTACTATCTGTTTCCAAAGGCAACAAAGCTCAGTGGGGTTCTGCATATTGTCTAGGGTTTCAAGAGCAAAATGATAAGACTAATTTGTTCTATGTTAAGTCAACTTTATTGAGACTTATAGTACAAAGGAATACTCGTTCATGTGGTCGGTAGCGAACACCAGACAACCTGTCTTGCTAGTCTCAATTGGTTCATAAAGCACCAACGGCCTACATGAACGGTAACCAAATTGTCGCTCTTCAAAATAACTGACTGGCGTTTTAAGGAGTACACTCTGGTCGGTCGTGAAATGCCACTGGTTATCGAGCCTTTGACGCTCTCTTGACTTTGTCTATGCGTACCCTGAACTCCTAGTTGGCCTACGCACTGGTGGTAGACTCTCGAGAAAGTATTCCTTAGTTTAATGTCTTTGTGTTGCCAACTGACAGCTTTTAGGAAGTACTTCATGAGTTTCTTCGATGTTTAGAATCCGATCTTAATATGAATTCCTGTATAATTTTATTACGGTAACAGGTTCAGTTTTGTTTTTTTTTCCATTTGATTTCATGTCGCTGCCTGTTTAGCCCCGCGTAGTTCGGTTTTGCTTTTCGACATTGGTTATTGTTAGATGATAACTTGTTGTGGTTTGTTTTTCGAATATTCTTCGCACTGCCCGCTCCTCTGTGTTGCACGGTGATCCATACTTGCTGTTTGCTATTACAACTTTTTCGGCGGACGAAACAACTGGGATGAGATTTTGAAGATACCCAGTCGAGTATGCTGTTTTTATCTCAATAAATTATGTTTATTGGCCTTCATTTTCTACAATCTCTGGCGTCTCGAGCGAATCCCGCCTGTAAACCTAGTACCAGCGGTTATAATACGCATGCTCCGAAGCACCTGAGGAGTTAGGATTACAGTATCCTATTGAAATAACCGCCCCGGGGGAGCTGGATAGATTTTTTACCCAGTTTACTCCGCTAAGCAGCACAAGGCCTCATGAGCCAAACGGTTGATTGTATCCTATTGGTGCTCATCATACTCATGGTCGGATACCAGTTTACCGTCTGGGTACCCAAGGGTTCGGCTGGTTGCATTTCATACAAGTTTACTGTGAGATGTCAGACCGAAATGAGGGTAACTTTTGTTGTTAGTCGTAAGTTGATCCGTACCCATCATTGGTTGTTAGAAGTTAATTGTGCTGTGTTATCTGGTCCGGATAACATGAAATATGTTTTTATGCATAGGTGTGACAATGGTTTGAACACAACGCAATGATACTGCTGTATGTGGCATTGTACTGATTAGCTTTCTCAGCACTTGAACCTAGGGGTTTGGGGCGCGAGTCACATGGAACTCCTGTAAGTTGGGTGATGGCACATGCCCGACCTGTTTTATGGGTTCCTTGCCGTTCGGTGGTCGCCTATATGACTCGGGACCTTACAGTGTAGCAATCCAGAGAGGATGGTGGAACAATTCACCCCAAAATTGGTTAGCGAGTTAAGGGCATTACGTCATAGTTTCCCTCCCACCAGAATTTAGACGGATTAATACACCAGAAGTTCACTAGGTGGTAGCTTATCCTACTGATTCAAGGTCACGTGTCAGGTTCTTGATGAGCACAGCGAACAGTGTGCAGAAACTCAAGTATGTAGTTTTGAGTAATTGGGGTTCGCACACACCGATGTGACGATTTGCTTTTAGGTGCAGCGTAGATAGTGTTTGCTTTGGTCGACGCGAACCACTGGTCTCCTTTTTCAAGAGCTGTTGGTGAGAAATCCGTTGCGTTATCTGATGTAGCTAAATGGTTGGTTTAGCCTTAAAGTTTCCAGTGCATTGTTTATTGTGCTTCCTGGGGATTACGGACCCGTACGTTGATTATAACTACTGGTAGTTGGCAAACTATAATTCACTGAATGTTTGAATTATCCAAATAAATGCGCTAGGTTGCTAAACGAACTTGAGCAGGAGACAGATTACTGCATATTTTACCCAGTCTGAGGCCTATCCAGTAAATTCATTCTTAATATTAATCCGTTCAACGAAGTATACCTACCACATACCTCTATTGGGTAGGATGTATAAATAAAGTACAGTGTGTGCTACTGAGTTTATCTCGGCTGTGTACATCCTGCAAGAATTATCCTTTCTACTGTAATACACTTATAGCTTATGCAAACGCAATTTAAGGAAACAGTTTCAGGTTAAAGGCAAGTGTAGCAATCGACCACAAATTGTTCTGGTTCAGAGTTGCGTTTCTATTTGATATGCCACAAATGGACGTCGGCACATATTAAACTAACGTCTAAATCGATGGTTTGTCGGGATCCCATATCGTAATCGAAGCTTTGAAGGTTGAACGCACTGTGGATTTTCGTGTTAATCGTGGATTTTTCAAGAGTGAATCAAGGGTTTGTGATGTACAAACCACCACGTTGTGTGGCTCAATATATCTTGAATATGCAATGCAAGGTAAAGGTCACCTCAACAGTTTCTCTCTATCCATCTTCAACTGGAGGCGTAACATTCAAGGAATCGACCAGCTGAATCCACTCAAGTGTTGTGGGACCAGGTGTATGTCATAAAAAAACGAATATGGAAAGTTTAGCATGGGCGCTCTCCAATATTGGACACAGACACTAAAGCCACCTTCTCTACGAGGGATTTATTTGCGGTCCAAAACTCATGTTAAGAAGGTAGAGGTGGCTTCACGGTTGGATACTAGTGTTTGAGGGCTTACCGAACAACAGACAGACCTTCCAACGGGGGCTGTTAGTGTGTTGAGGCTTTCCTTACCAACTGTTGTATTCGTGGGTAATTTCACCTTGCAGTTTGGCGGCATGCGGTACAGTGTTGAGTCTTCAATAAGCAACTAGTTGCAGCTGCTTCTCCGCTCAGTTGATTCTATTCCCAATAGGAGACATGCTGCTATGGGCATAACGGCCCCACCGACCATTCGACCTTTGTTGTAATCCATCCTTGCTCTTGTAGGTGATATGAGATGGTCGAATTTTATTTTCTCTTTCTACATCACGTCGAACTAAACAGTAGACTGTGCCCAAATATCTTCTCTTTCACCATTCGAAAACCCGTGAAACTGAAGCATTGCCGTCCTGGATATATCCGTCATTGAAAGCTGGATCACTGTCAGATGTTTGGGCGATTTTCCATCACTAAGCAAATATGCTAGAAGAGATTAACCTGCTAATTGTGAGGACTGTTTTCTGACTACAAATAATTTACAGAGGAAGAAAAACGGTCGTCTGCGAATGTGCTAGTGTACTGCCACCAGGGTCGCAGCTGCGATTCTCGTCCCGTCCTGGTGCAATTATTCGGATAAGTCCATGGTGCTTTCCTGCTTTAGTGTGGACTAACTGAAGTAATTGCGCCGGGGAAGGAGCGCAGCTGTTCAAATCAGAGTGATATGTACGTGGACTTACATTCGTAAATGATTACAAAGTAGGATGCCATCCCACCTAATATTTCTGGAGCCCATATGAAACACGTCAGTTGACCACTCCAAACCATGCGAACGTGAACACTTGAGCACTGAAGTTCAGTGGCATCGAAGAGTCACTTTAGATCAATCCTTAAATCATTTGAAGTTGTTTCTCTGGCATCCGAACCACGTGAACACTAGTGCATAGGCTTGGTGCGCTCCATTCACATGACTGTCGTGTAAACATATTGATTGAATTCCTCCGGATGGAATGTCGTTTGGGGCGCGCAATTACAGACTAGGATTCGTGTTTCGAGCACAACCCCAGCATCTCGACTGCTGTCTCGGTTTGGGAAACCTGGCACTAGTCCAAAACCTAGTGCTTCCTTCGGGTGGGATGGAAGCTAGGCACCTACCATGCGAACGTGAACACTTGAGCACTGAAGTTCAGTGGCATCGAAGAGTCACTTTAGATCAATCCTTAAATCATTTGAAGTTGTTTCTCTGGCATCCGAACCACGTGAACACTAGTGCATAGGCTTGGTGCGCTCCATTCACATGACTGTCGTGTAAACATATTGATTGAATTCCTCCGGATGGAATGTCGTTTGGGGCGCGCAATTACAGACTAGGATTCGTGTTTCGAGCACAACCCCAGCATCTCGACTGCTGTCTCGGTTTGGGAAACCTGGCACTAGTCCAAAACCTAGTGCTTCCTTCGGGTGGGATGGAAGCTAGGCACCTAAGAATTGTTAGAAATGAGCAATTTTCCCCTTCACTTAGTATTCATCTGCAAATTATTTACGCGGTTTACCGTTTTCCAGATCTAGCCTGCGTATACGACTAATTTCACAAGGTCTCATCCTAATAGGCCGATAAATGGAACCAAATGAAAGTGGATGGAATAGATGCTACGTTACTAGTGCTTTTCAATTGCGGAGGCGACAAATTACATTTCGGAGGGAAGTATTTTGAGTGTATCAATTCACTACAAGGCAGCACAAATGAAGCTCGTTTCAGGTTCCGATGAATTTATCTAAGCTTAAAACCGGGCATCTTCCGTACAGGGGCACCTTTTACAGGACTTTTCCTGCATATTGCAGCCTTAAGTCGACGTAGGTCGTCGGTTTAATCCAGTCACCACGATTCCGTATCAGCTAGATGTGAAATGAAACCCACCAGCTTTTTTAAATACTGGCTCCTCCGTGGCCTTGTGCGCTTTATGATTCCCCTCGGTACCGACAAATGATTCAGCTGTGAAACATCAATTGCCTAAGAGCAGTCCGTTGCACCTGGACACTACGCGCAAACTGTTCCCATGTACATGGTCATAACACTGACCAACTTTGTGTGCCGGATGTTGTCTCGTGTTCTGTCTGGCTGTTTTATTCCTCATACGGAGCTCACTTATCCGATGGACTACTCGTGCATTCTGGCAGCTTTGCGTGAACTAGTTTCTCAAGCGTGGTACGCTTGATAGTCATTTTGTGGATTTTTCAGTTTCGGTGCAGATACCCCACCGAAGATTGGTTTGTCCCCGCAACAACTCACACTGTTGAATCTCCAGTGCATCGTACCCCCACACCAGTACAGTGGGGTGGGTGGGTCGCTTCATTCGGTCCTCGCTTTAATGACAGTCTATTCCTCCGTATAGAACTCCTTCCCTCAACCAAAACTGTTGTACCGCTGATGGAAGTGCGCTTTTCTGGCCGATCGCTGGCGCGCATTCTGCTGTCCCGGATTTTTCCATACTGCTAGTGCATTGTCAGAGCAAGCTGCCACTCCTGTAACCTGTAATTTTCCCGACTGTTCCCCTGTTGACCGCACCATTCATACTGTTTCCTCATTTCGACTATGTTGTTATTTTGCCGTCGCTAATCAGCCTTTCCCTTAGAACTGTTCTTGTATGGTCACTGATCCACCCGTTGACTACAGGAATTTGTCACGCGTTGGTCATCTTGCCGTAAGAAATCACAACTGCCGTTAACGTCAAGCACCTAGTATCCTACAAAGGCGTTCTCATCACTAATTCCTTAGGGCGTTTTTTGTCTACCATGCACACAAAAAATTTTTGGAAATATTTGGCTTGCTCAGAACTCATTTACGTAAACGTTGAACTTATTTTCCTTCATCTCACCACATTTTTCGTACACAAGGCAGCAAAACGAATCGATTGCAGGGTGCATAATGAAAATTATGAAATTCATGATACAAACATGGTAGATGCCACGCCCTTACTCTTGTAGCCGTTCTGTACCCTACATTGAGGTTCGACGCTTTTTATTCGGTGGATATTCCCGGCATGCTTATTGCTCTATATTGAATTATGGTTGCCCTCACCCCGAGTGCCGACGCTACCCCTTGAATTTCAAAAGTGTTCGCTCTGAGGAAAGAACTGTTGTTCACTTAAATGTTTGTCTAACGTGGATCGTTCATGCCGCACTCCTCACAAAAGGATACAGACCTGGGTTGTTGAAGTATCTTCAGTTCCTACATCTGTACAAAATCTATGGATTCGTGCCATCACCATCTAGGAAGGTCTTTACTTCACTGACAGATCGACAAAAAACGAGATTTTCATGGCCTCTTTGTCCTAACTTTAACATGCTTACACAACATCGTGGATTATCTCAGTTGGAGTGCTGTTATCATTGATGGGCTGACGCTGCGTCTTTGGTTTTATCGAAGCAGAACATGAACCTATGCTTGTTATCGTTTCGATTGTTTCTTAGAATCGCACGCTTGTTTACGCCGGTAGTCTTGAAGGAACCTTGACATGCAGTCCTGAACTGAGTGCATTGTCGGAAGACGGGCGATCCCGGTTGATCCATCAATTTACCATTACGTTTCAACGTCCAAGGCTATTCCTCATTTTCTGAGTTTGCTACCATAGTTTAGTGCTTCCCACCGTCCACTCCGTATAAGGATTCGTCAGAATGTACTAGTTGGTGCCGTAGGCCACGTAGACCGATTGCTTGAAACATACAAATAGCTGTTGAATTATTACATAGTTTGTTACGAAGTAAACACAGAAAGCACAAGTACACAAGTAGTATCGTTCGCGAATGAGTTCACGTAAGCTAAGGGTTAACAAAAGTCACAAAGATATATCGGGTTCCAGATGTTGTTGTCAACCCTTCGTGAAGGTGTGTAACCCGTCCTGGAAATATTGCAGCCCACCCGACTTTAGCTCTGACCACGGAACAGTTGTAGCGAACGAATCCGGTACCTCCACCCTGAAACAAAAGATACGGATTTACTGCGTGCGTTGTATAAGTTCGAATTTTGACAAAATATACGGTAGATTTAACTCACCTCAAAGTCGACTCCAGCCTCATTAAGAGCTATGTTCACGGTGTATGAAGAAGCGTCATGGTGTGGTCTAAGAGATGCTTGTTCATCTGGCCGGTAGCGAACAACGAAGTTCATTCTCGCCCACGGCTGTAAATCACCATAGATGCGAGTTAGTGGCACGTTACAAAAAGATTACAATCTTATAAGGAAAGAGCATTGTACGAACTACCTTTTTATGGCTTCTCTTCAGAAGATTGTGTATTAAGTCTTGATCAACAGCGGTGATTCTCCATGGACTTGCTTTTTCAGGTCTATCAGTGCACTTTTTGCGTTTTTAAAGCTTTCGATACCTTTTGAGGTAGCAGACCTCAGTGTCGGTGGACAAGTATGCAGTTTCTTACAGCTGATAATAATGGTGATGATGATGTGGACGAAAGTTGTAGTTGAGTCCATTTTGGGGGCTAGACTTTATAAAACGGAGCAAACTGCAGACTCATCGTCAAAGACAGCAGCATCAGTGTTGACACTGATGCTTCACTGCCGCACTGCAGACTGCATGAAGTGCAACCACCACTCTTAGAGTCAAGCTCACTTCCAGTCGGCCTCAAGATTTCTGTGTAGGTCGGAAAAATAATAATAAGAAACAGGAAGACAACGTAAACTATTCTGTTCTATTTAAATGACCACATCGTTTCTCATCCCTCTTGCATTGAGGCATTCAGGTCGCAGTTTCTCTTTTTGGATGTCACTTTTCTGGGCTACACGCAGATACACCTCTAGTTCTCTTCTGTATGATACGAACATACCTTATCTTCATATCCGGCAAACACTTTCTTTTGAATGGGATGCACATACTTCACCAAAAAGTGCAACCAGTGGTCTTCCCAGTTGATTTGTCTCATGTGTATGTCACGCGTTGGCACGTTTTCGTATCCACCTTCAAGACGTGGGTCAACGTTAGTTCCGTCCGACCATAATCCGAATTCCTCCACCTCAGCGATGAGTTGGCGGCAAAACTTTGTGGTCACAATGGGCAGATAGAACACATCTGGACAAGGCTGTTTAAAATCGGACATTCCAACTTCTGGTGCGAGATATTTGAAATAGTCCGGGTGTACATATTGCTCTTCCCAGTCCTGTGTTAAATGTAGAATAATGCAGGCGTACAACTTTTCAGCTAAGTGGTTGGGGGACACAGTAGACGGACCCCATTAAAATATGTGAATACAACTAGACTGGCCGAAGAATATTGGACAGGCGGTAACCTCGTTGATGAATCCGCACTAGGACAGCTAGTCACCATTCCGGTGATCCTACTTTTGTAACCTTTGAAACAGATTGATCGACCAATAAGCCTTGTTCAGTCCAGCACCACAAGCCTGTTGTGGCCCACCTCGAATAGATCAGCCGCCATATGAGTTTCACTTTAGGCTAATCACCTACTCAGGAACTACTCAACAACACATCAAAAGTGTGACTCACCAAAGGATTATCGAAGATTTGCCAGAGGTCATTATTTAGATGTTCCGTGGTGTAGGTCTCAGCGTGTACCAAGTATCCGTAGTGCTCCATATTATCCAGTGTCATAAATATGTTCTAAAATTCGGAATTAATTCGTGATCAAATCGAAGATAAAAACCACCAGGCGTATATCATCACTTTTTTGTTTGCTATTTCTGTGGTAGCAACACCTATCCGAGGAAACACTCAAAGAACCGGGATAAAATATTTCCAGTCTGGCGATAAGATCTCATTACTTTGCTGGGTCATTTCTGGATTACTATTGAGGGGGTCACAAACACAAACTCAGACAGGTCATTCCAGCATCGACCAGAGTAGCAGATCAGGGGAGACCAAGCTCGAGGGCCACACGACCATCGACCAATCAGCATACAGGATAACAGGAACCATCCGACCTAACAAACAAACCGTCGAATGTCAGTCCTGGCTAGCAGCACGTATGCCAACACACACGCAACCTACTCAACGCATTGCCGCCGATCCATTGCTTTGTTCCTTACTGATGAGGTCGACTCGATTGGTAATGAAAAATTGTTCAGTTGTAACACCCTCTCGGTTCGATGCCATGTGAATGAAGCATGAGGACCGAGATGCAACCAATTTGCCAAAGCCTAGGCGAGCTCAACGAACGAAGCAACGGCCATATTCCAGAACTATTCGGTCATTTTAAGGGATAACTTGATGTGCATATTCCGTTACTGAACTTAGTCAAACGGCTATGTTAGGTAAACAAGTATCAGAGACTCGAGTTATGTAAGGTGGCTACTGCAGCAGCCTAGACTATCGTATGGTGTCATTTATCTCAAGTAGAAAAATACCGTAGTTGAACATCACTATATGTTGGCATTGCCAACATATGTGATTACCATGAAATTACTTTACGCATCAAGACACTGAACAATATATTGTTTGCTGATTAACTTCCACCTATAGGCATGGTGCAGGTGAAAAACCAGCAGCAAACTGCTTGTGCGGTTACTTATTTATCTTGATAAGGTATTTAGCCCGTCCTAGTCTACTACTCGGCCGGACTATACGATATATTCAAATAAGATTGTCGAATTGGTCCACGATCACTTGGAAATGGACAGCCCGGAAGGAATTTTTCCTCCTGGAACACTGGTCTCACTTTATTGTCACTCGTAGCAATATTATTTTCTATTACAGTTACCAGGGCAGCTGCGCGGGTTTTCCTCCATTGCATCTCTCGTAATGTCTGTCAACTTTGCTCGCGCTGCGAGATTCGATTCCAAGAGCACGGGGACTTAGCTCGTCGTAAATGATGCGCTAATTCTCAGTGATATCCTGAATAGTTATAGGTAAAGAATACACTCCCTGCAATTGCTTTTTTTTCGGAAAAAGATGCACGTTCACTGGCAGTCACAATGAATGTTTCTTTCTGGCATCACAATAGCATGCCAAGCAGACTCATTAGGAATATTTAACAAACTAAGCTACTCTCTGTACCGAATGACGAATGGATTTTGTCCCATACTTCAAACACTTGGAATAATACACAATCATTTTCGCGTGCAGTGTGCTTTACCCGATTCCTCGGAGTAACCAGTACAGTCGATAATGTAGAAATCTACTCCAGGTTATGCAATTACGATTGTTTATTGGTCTCAGAAAGATTGAGGCTCATGTGTGCAGTCTGATGCGAAACACATCTAATCAGGGCACTTGTTACGAACTTTTGGGACTCCTTAGAATGAATAGTCTTGGCCGTGTTGCTGACATGCGGTGCAATTGGTTCGTCATCAGTCGTAGAGGTCATTTCAACTCAACCGCATTTATAGAAGGCCATTAGGTTTACAAGAAGGCAGGAATCAAGAACCGCCAAGCTTCTGTGGTGAGGAAACTATGTTCGTTTGGTCTTTGATGTCAAGCTTTGATGTACATTTCAGTCGTAGGCGTTACAAACCAGTTATTTAGTTTATTTGTGCCGACACCATCGGTTCCGGTCAACATAACTAATGATAATTATGCTGTGCTTCAAACCCAAATTGCTTCCTCACTGTTTTTTCGCTTCAACCCAAATTGCTTCCTCACTGTTTTTTCGAAAAAGCAGAGAACTTTATAGTTCTCCGTTTTTCGTATAAAGTCAGTGTCCTTCCAAGTGCAGTTTTGTGGAAACTTCATTTCAACCACTATACCGGTGACATTCAGACTACCATGCAGCCCAAAAATGATGGTGGTTTTGATCTTCATTTTTCGTGCTCTTGCTTTCCATACTTTTGAAATTTACCACAAAATTAGTGTTTTACGTCTAAAAAAATATGGGACAATGAAATTGACCTGATGGGTGAGCATGCACCTAAGTTAATCGCAGTGGAACGATGATGAGTGTGGGGTGACAAATTGACGTAGTATGTGTTGTGAGCCTCTGTAGCAATGAAACATGAACTGTACATTCCCACTGATGTCAACCAACGTATTTTCTTTGTTCGTAATGTGGGGAGTTCTTGCAGTTTTGCTGTGCAAGTGAAGCAAATCGCTGAAAGGCTTCATTCTTACGGGGAATCATCAGCAGTGTGATTCTAACGAAACTCCAGTAAGGTGCTTCGAACCCGTGACCTACCGACTAGTACGTAACACTTAATTTTTGGGCCATCATTGGTTGACTGAAAATGTTATTAAACCTCATTCAGACACCACGACCGGCTCTATATTCTGTCTAAGTGCGAGTTAATCAGCCGATCGTGACCCAATTGTTCAGCGTTCAAACATCTAGCCTTGAGGACGCGGGTTAGAATCTTCATGAATTTTCATGAGATGCGCACTGCTGGTGATTCCAAATAGGGATTAAACGGTTGTACGGTGATTCTTGGCCTTTCAGTATATGTTTTAGTCTAGATTTTACGCATTTTAGCGGAACGAATAGGCTAACGTACATATAAAGTACCAAGTGGGAGTAGGCAAGCACTCAATGGAGTGTCCTGAGCAGGTAAAGGGTAGCGTATCCCAGATACTCACAAGCAGGTTAGGCCGTCTGGAGATTTACTTTTTCATTGTCTATTTTCACACTGAAATTAGGGAATTTTCCAGGGCAGACTCACGAGGAAGGTTGGGAACTAGCGAATTAAACAAAAACGTATAACTTGGAGGCGAACCTATTGGGCACTGCTGATGTACGTCAACACTTTTAAACTTAGAAGAAATCATTGAGCAAGGTGTTCAAGAAACATGCTTGTCTGCTCAACCCATGCTATTCCGCCATGGCTCACAGCTGGGTGTGTACGCGTTGTGGTGATATGGCGTGGGAATGGCGTTGGGTAATTAGAGAGCAACAATGGCGGCCCAAGTTCGTTTGCAAAAGTTGGTTAAGTCAGTCACTAACTCTGCCTTTCTTGAGCATTCTTTAACATGTAGCCAAACCGGGCAGTTGCCTGATATATCTTCGACTGCAATTGTAACAATCATTTATGTTGACAAATGAATAACCTTGGACGGGATTGGCTCTGATCTGAAGAGCTCTAAACTACCTTACAGATGCAGACATTTGGAGTAGTTCTTCGAACCTTCAAACAAAAAATCAACAACGCGTAGATTCGTCAAAGAAGGATATGAAGTAGATTAATCATACGGCTAACTTACTTCTTGTCTTGCGATGTTTGGGATTCGCATCTCAAGTCCATCGATTCCAGACAGCTTGTGATTCGCGAATACTTGAACCACTCGGCGTGATAGCAGATAGGCGTCTCGAATGAACGGTACATTCCATATACCCCTGGGCCGTGAAGAGTTAAAAATTCTTCGTTTTTCACATGTTTTTATCCATTAATTTAGTCAAACTGTCATCGAAATTCCTACATGGACAACGAGTGCCGAAAAGAATCTCTACTTCCTTGAACTCAGTGACCCCATTGGATTGTGGTGACAGGGGGAAAACTGTTCTCAAATTGTACAAGTCCTTCCCCACTACACGGTTGACACTTCTGCTTCCCTGATTGATCAGCTCGGCTTCTTCAAATCCGTGAAATAAGTTAACAAAAGCAGAAAGGATAAAAGCAAAATCACTGAATAAAGGAAGGCTGTGAGAAACGGAGAGTCCAGGCATGCTTCACATTATTTATGGCGTACGATTAACATTGAGAAACTTAGGTGAATGGTATCTAGCGACTTTCATATCTATTTGCCACGAAGGCTGTCTGCCGTCAGTTGTTGGTCATATTAAGGGAGTGGTGAACTCTGAAGGGGGTGGAATAGTTCGGTGGTTACAGTACGAAGTTACTGACCGGAAGGGCTGTGGCCCGAACCCCAACTCTTCACCTCGACTTCTGTTGTCTAGGCTTTGGCGACCTGGCAGCCCTCGTGCTTCCTTCTGATGGCATGACAGTTAGGCACCGAAAGGGCATTAGAGCTGAACGATTATCTTTTACGGCATTATGTATGGGCAAGAGTATGGACCTGATTGTTCACCATCGCTAATTATGGCATTCTATTCAAAGGGTAAGTACAGTGAACCTTGATTCTCCTCAACAATTCCGTTCTGTTTAGGGCACATGAATAAGTACTGTTTAACACAAACTGTTCTACCTGTATATGTAAACTTACACTCTCTTCCTTTCGACAATCTCCACGTAGTCGTCCGATCGTTCATAGTATCCGTCACGGGATAATGCGCCCCAGAAATTGGACCATAGCTTTCCCCTTCTGGATAACATTGGAGCGATCATGGAACGATTCATCTGTATCAGGTGCTCGATCGTATGTGGGTTGGTCAGTTGAACAACAGCGTCCACGGAAAACATAAATTGGCAGGTATCGACAGCCAGACAGTGAGCGCTAAGATGAAAGATGGAGAAAGTTGGAGTAATGGTTCTCAGGTGCAGGTACAGCTCAGAAAAGTCGCACATAAGCAACACAAAGCGCATTTCCCTTTGGATTGTTGGTATTATTCATGTCCTCCAAAATAGGGGCAAATGAACGAATTCTCATTGAAGATGAATTTATTATTTGTAAGCTAAATCCGAATCTGAGAGAAAAGTCGCTCCAGATGGCATACCTATGGTGAGACAGTGCGGTGAGACCGTTAGCTATTCATGGTGTTGTGCTGAACAGTTTAGGTCATAAGTAACTGACACCACCCCGTACAATGCTTGAGATAAAGTTTGCTTTTGGACACTTATAGACAAGCCGTATACGGTGTGTTTGACCAAATGTAAATGGGCACCCGCAATTCGTTGCCCTAAAGATTCTGAACGGGATCATGAGACACTGCGTAAATGATCACCAGAAATATAAAGGTGGTTTTCTCAGGGACTATCACACGTAATCCTTGTCTATGGAGCAGTCCATAACTGAATCCTGACAGAAGCGGACTGGTGGTTGCTTAGACCGAAAATGAATTGCTAAAATCTATGGTGTATGGTGTATGCTCTATGTAGACAGAGTTTACGCATGCTGTGTATCCGAAACACGCAAACAATACCCAAGTTGGGTTTGGAATCTCAGAACGCCAAAAACGGACTCTGCTGTTTCACATTTCTCCTTCCGTGTGTCCGGCAATCCAGAAACGAGGACTTGTGGAGTAAACATAGTGTGAGTTACATCCATCCCCAGAGCTGAACGTGCTTTGCTGGATGGGATTCCGGTCAACAGTCACCTTTGCCATGTCCGGTTCCAGTTCACTCAATCTCAATGCCTCTCGACATAAAAATGATGCCTGTTTGTAGTGTCGGCTTATGCTGAGAAAGATACTTACTATGGAGAGTTATCCGAGCTCATTCACCAAACAAGAAGCACTGATCCTTGCGGGCGAAATGAATGCGCAAGTGGGTCATCTTAGCACCTCGGAATCACATATGGTCGCACACAGATTAATTCGTCCAGGTGTGCGCCGATCATCTACCGTTTCCGTACGAATTTTCAGCATAAACGTTCACACCACGTACTCTAGCAGCCAGAAAACTGCAAATCAACCGTGATACTGCTAGATCATGTTTCCATCAGCCACCGGTGGAGAGTTAGAATTCAACAATATCGTTTTTTTTCTGGAGCACTCAACATGATTCTGATCGCGACATCAATGATCAACACCGATGTTCCGCTGCCGTACAACCATAATTTATCTGAAGGCCTTATGGTGAATAAAAAATTAATGTGGACGAGGAGGGAATCTAGTGCTAGCTTTCCACAATACTTCCGAGGTGTCTACACCTCAAGACCTAGCCCTGCTACTGGCACTAATCACCAACGAGCTAACTAACAGGTTAATAAGCTAGCTTGATTGTGCTGTTTTTTAAAGACTAGTTCAAGAGCTGTGTCTCAAGACAGGATGAACTGATGAAGGTGAATGCGATAAGATCCACCAGATATGATCATTTTTTCTGCATCAGTTGCCTGAGTTTTTGCTCGAACAAATTGGCGTAATAACAAGCTAGCAATGACCAGCTTGGGAAAATGTGCCGAAATACGCTTATGGAATCCATGGATGAGAGGGATATTTGTTTACCGGTCGTCATTTATAAGCATGTAAACAAAAGCTTTGTTGCGTGTTGACTGCTAATTTGCATTTAGTTCACCAAAGCAACCTAGTTACTTTGGTTACATCGCGCACATACACTTCGGAACTGAGCCCTGGGTCGGTCAGCTTGTTTCCTGATTTAATTATCTGAGGTTCAGTGTCTGGGTTGGTCGACTCTGGGATGAAGTGTCAGTGTAAATTACGAATTGGTCCAGTCTTCATCCATGGGGCAATTAATTAATATCACATTGGGAATCATACTTTTTGGGCATAGATATTTGGGTAAAATATGGGATAAGCTGACAAAGTTTCCGAAGGCTGAAACTGTGTTCCCAGAACCGTCGTTCACATTCTGTTGAGGGACTTACTAGGCATGATCTCGAGCGCTTCCTTCATCGACAAGCTCATCAGGATAAAACCATTTAATGCTGAGGTAACTGTGTCCGTGCTTCTTTATAAATTCGTTGACCAGAGGCGTTTGTTTCTCTGCTTTTCTCTACAAGGAAAGAAAAGGTGGGTCAAGGACGTTCTTTAAAACTACAGTGGTAGGAATTCAGATGTCGATTGGAATCAGTGGAATTATCAGGCTAACCAGTGCGTCCACTTATTGCTCTGAGTTCCTTTTCGTTACTTCTGTATGTCACAAGAAGAGCCCAAGTCACAGCTTGATACACAAACTTCCGCTCTTGGTGACGGGTACTTGACCGTTTGGTCACCAGACAGTCTTGTTTAGTAGACGATTTCAAGGTCTAGTTGCTCAAGTGCCTGAGAATTTATAGAAGGTGAATTTGGTTAAGAACGCTTCTTGTTTAGTGATTCACATAAAGCCGTCTCGTCAGTGAGACTACTGGGCGCAAACCTAGAAGCCGAGTCCCAATAAAATGTCCCTCTGGTTAGGATGAATCGTTTGATAAATCTGACTAGCTACTGTCCTCGGACTTTGGATTGTTTGCGTGGAAAAAAAGGTGTTCAAGAAGCGCTCATCTTTCAGTTTGTCTATTAGGAGAGTCGAATCAAGAAAGAGTTGCCAAACGATACTCAAAATGATGTGACTTGGCAACTCGACTACATCGAAGACGAAAAGTGGACAATTGGAAGTGGGCAGATCAACGGATTGGCTGTTCTGTGGCAGTGTAATGAGTGTTAAAGATATTTGAAGGCCACCTATCGGCAGACCATCAAACTAACCCAAACTCTTCAAAATGATGACATTGGATTGAGGCAGACATTCGGTGGAAGCAACTAAACAAGCTGGGGGACTGACAAATGACCGTCAAATCGGTTGAGGTGGACTGCATCTGGGATTTCTCCGGGCTACTGGGCTGGACGTTTCAGAATTTAACGCCTACAAAACTGCTAGCGGTAACTCCATGTGACAATTGTTGTGCGCACCTAGCTAGCATGACAATTATCAATCGTCAATTTCGCATGCTTATCACTTTAGAACTACCCTGTCTTGTTCATGCTCTTGCCTTGTTACCTCAAGTGTACTCCACGCATAGGGCGTTCGGGTGGATCCAAATGCTTGTCGGCACAAACCACCAATCGACATCACTCACTGTGGACGGGTGTCCATCAGCTTCATTTGATATGACAGGCAGATTCAAGAACTGACACCCATCCATACATATGTAGGATTTGATGAACCAACTAAAAAAAACTAGCAGATGCTTCATACTGAGAATTATTTCCTCTTCTTAACCTCTACATTCTCTCTAGAATGAGCACCCAGTATATGAACATTACCAGTCATACTATATCACATGTAATACAGCATTTACTGTTTTTTGTCACTCATGGGCTTGCTTAGACTGCTTTGCTGTTGCATCTGTCGTCACCCATTGGGTATCCGTCATCGATCACTCATATTTGGTTCACTCTGTCACGTGCACTGAGTGTTTCCGAGCCCGTCACGCTAACGGCTACTGTGTCGTAGCATTAGCGAACGCGCCACCGAGCATAAATTTGAATTTCATTGACCGATACCGTCGTTGTGTATACCATCGTTGAACTGCTCTAATTTGGCTGGCTTGATCATGCTGGTTAAAACATGAGACAGTCCCAGATAATTTATTGAAGCACGATGGCATTTTGAATGGATGAAGTGAAGGTTGTGCACCTGAACTGCACAGCTGATTCCTAACAGTCAGGCCTGATGGAATGAAATTAGTTATCTACCAGCTTCCAGGTACCCAAAGATCTTCCGGAGTAACTTGCTATAAAATTGAAGGTGACCTGGTTGGTTTCAAAGTGAGAACTATCGTGATGTCGTCACTTTGAATCCGTTTCCAGATGTGTGCTCTTCTTCGTGTAATATGACCTTGAACCTTCCATTTCAAGATATCCCAATACAGTTTACTCAGTATGCTCCGGTCGCTAAATGATTAGTTCAGCAAAAACCATACAATGAGGACATCCAGATCCCCCAGTTCCGACAGTGTGCCGTAATCACGATTTGGTTGCCCTGTTGACAGCGCCCCAAGGCTAGCCTAGAGAAACCTGGCAGCATCATTTTAGTTTTATTCGTGCGGCACTTCTAGTTGCACAACCAGGAGGGTTGTTATCCAAACAGCTTTGTTTAACAGTTATTCTTTTATTCCAGAGCAGTCATCCCAGTCTGTCCATGAGCAGCAACGAAAAATCTAAATATATGATAAGCTCTTTTATCTAAACACATGTCGGGTACTGACACTTGATTCTGTCAGCTAATCAATGGCAGTGATTTCCGGCTGTTCAATTTTGTTAGTGATGTGGTTACTTTTAGTTTGTACTGCGTAGTTTGATGGTAAACGTAGTCAGGAAATTTCTGGTGTCGCGACATTTCGGAGAACCTTTCGTGAGTAGTTATGTCACCATAGATTAATTCACCGGTATGAATAAAATTATAAAGAATCTGATAAACTATACCATAGGAAGAAAACAGATCAATAACTTTTAAACCTGACCAAGGGGGGTAGCAAATAATTCTGGTTACATCGGTGGAAACAGTCCAGACTTAATCATTGCAAAGGAAACAAAATCTATTTGAAAACAAATCCCCTCACGAGAGGGTGGACCAGGTTTGTCCCGTGAAAGTTTTTGTGAATAGGAATAACCCTACAGGTAAATTCGATAGAGAACACAGCGTGTGAACGTATGAACTAAGGAATGCTGTATCTCGTTAGACTCGTTCAACATACGGTTTTCAACATGAGGAGTGTGGTGCCATAATTGTCGGAAACCAAATGGTTGGTCATTTAGCAGATACCCGCAACTGCGGCAAAGCTGTCCGTTGGGTAGAAGGTTCATAAAACGAACTAATAGTCTCTCAGTATTAATATCCTTTGTATACATAGCTACTATAAAACTCGATATGGGTAGGAGGGCTAAACTATTGCTAGCTTGGTTAAGCTTAGACAGAAGCAGTCTGAAAACCAGGGATTCGTTCGAATCACCGGGCTATCTTGAGGCTAACACATGGTGAAGCATCGGAAGAACACAGTGCCGTTGCTGTTTATCACCCGAGTTATAAGCATACTACGGGTGTTGTTCAAACTTCACTTTTGTAGTTTAAGCCTCCACTATGCACGAGGTCCTACAAACATCAATGTTACTCAGGTAGAATGGCATGTGTGAAAAATACGCCTTTTGTCATTTTGGGACTAACTCTACGTGAGAAGATTCTTCAGCCGTTTTGCAAGCATTTTGGCCTTTTTGACGGCAGTTGTGTTTTTCTTTAGTTCAGCGAAAAAATCTTCTTTATTCCAATAATTATGTTTCTTATAGCTTCTAAATGTGTAATCCTACTCGGTGCACCAAAAGTGTTTGTGTGATTGACAAGATACACCTGGAATTTCGAATCGATTAGCTGCTCACACCTAAAAATCAATATGGATTATACGGACGAAGAAAATAGTAATATGGTTCCGTTGGAGCAACAACACCACACCCTAAATGATATTTTTAATACGCAGCATTTCACAGGTGTGCAAGCAGAACCTGTTGACGTCTTGAGCTGGAGCCATGCATGAAACATCGAGTCTCACATTAATCTTCGTGTATGCTCCTGCAAAAGACTCAAGTTTTCCGGTACAGCCACCTGGAAATATATAGGCACAAGTCAATGGAGTTTTATTCGCTTGATTAACTAGCACACTGCCCTTTCGTGCTCGTCATAAGTGATGGTGTTGGAAAACCGTATGAACCTAGAGTGTGAGGTTAGTGAGGCTGGTAATCATTTATGTTTTGTACTAACCCAGTATGTAGGGATTAGCATCTTCCATCTTGGATGTATAACTAACCAAAACCTCAACGCGGGAATTACCCAAGAGTGCCGTTTCAATGCGAATCTATTTGATTTCAGTCCGAAGTGGAAATTCTCACTAGTTGTATCAATTAATTTCACTTAGAATTCGAATTCATAAGGGAAGTTTTTAACAAGATAAACCGCTTGACGCGCCTTAGACGTAGTCGAACAAACAGCATTATGGTGTAGAAATTTTCCTCTTTTTTATCTTTAGCTGAACAGGTTTTACTAGTTCGAAACAGAACTATTCGGTGAATTACGCGTGGAAAATTTCACTCGGTGTTCAAAACAAACGCCCTCAATTTGTCCTCCTGACTTGGCCCCAGATCGACAGAGAGCTAACTTCTGTCGGTCAGCCTAGCCAACACCACACCGGGCACTTGATCTTGATGTTCTCCTCAGTCAAAACAGTGTCGATATAGGAGTAATAAATTCTGGGGTTTTAACTCCAAAAAAGCAGTTAATAAATGCACATACAGTGATTTACCACTAGGGACTATGCATAGAGGTGGCTTCTGAACAGATCTGTTGCCGGGAATGTACGAGTTTATAGTTTTGCGCAACTTGATACTAGATGAATCATCTATTCACTTATCAAAAGAGATATGCTATTTTCGTCTTAGACGACTGGTACCACCTGTAAAATCATTTTTCAATTTACTTTCTAAAAAATTAATTTTGATTCGAGTTGGCGTCAAAATGACTCGCTCGGATTCAGTGCGGCCTAACTAACGGCATTGAGTCATTGTTCTCCGACCATTTTGGTTCATCACTCTCATATACCCCGTCTGATTTTAGATCTCTCGGCGTAGGAAAGCTAAATTGTATATCACGTGCCGTTTACTCAAGTTTGATTTGACGGAAGACCGGTTAGCTTCAGTCGTGTGGCTTTGTGTGAACAGCGTGCAAGGAATTAATCTCCATTGGTTCCTAGCCTCACCACACCCACTTAGTGTGGCCTTGTTTAATTGGTCAACAGATCATATCGACAACCCGTGCCTACCACTTGTTATCCGACAAGGTTTGGGATGGAGACCCTTACAATAATGTGGTCGAACACAGTCAGTTTGTGCTTAACGGAATGAATTGTGCTTCAGTGGAATCGGTCCTTTTGGGTTTTCGATCCAGGTTGAAAAAAGAAAAGGTCTAAGCTTGTTGGTGGGCTGCGAAATGAGCGTATGTTCTAACCTTTGAACAGCGTACGGACATTCAAACATCGTTTGAATATATTTCTACACATTCTCGATAGGAACTTAAAGTTGGGGTTATATTCTGAAAAAGCACAAACGCTCGCTTTTACACAGAACTCTATGAATAACTCGGGGATGCAGGAAAACAGACCACTGGACCTCCGTATATGTTAAGCAGCCTGAAAAAGTGTGATTCATGGAAAACAGATAACATGACAGACCTCTACAGTACAAATGAATGCTCCTTATTTGGGCATACTGTGGAATTACATCAAAACATTAAGTGGCAATCAACGAACTTTACCCAGTTTCCTTTGTTTGATAGACTGGACGTACACAGTAAATGAACTCACCGAGTTTCAAACCAATCAAACAGAATGATCGTTTTTGAACAACATTCGAACCGTTCTCGTCAAGATTACGTTAGATTTTTTTAGCTTCGGTTTATCACGCATGCATGTAACCTCTAAGAACTTGACGAATTCGATATTCATAAGACGGTTTCTTTTGGGAACTTACCCTGTCATTCGATGCAAGACGTACACTCGCTGCCATTTATTCATGTAATAAACGATTTAGGCAAAAGAATTGCAGTCGCTCTTCCGAGTGAATTGTTGTTTAGGTTGGGCACTTTGTTCGCCTAACCACAAAACAATCGACTGGGGATGTGATTGCGCAGTTGCCAACCAATGAACCTTTCATCGATGGGTGTGAAGTCAGCTCATCTCACTTCACATTCTGTTTTCGCTTTTCTCCGCAGAAATGGGTCAGACTTATCAGTTTTTCTGTTATACTCGTGTTATTCAAGTCCTGTCTTTAGGTTTTCTGACTTCATCTCATGTATTACAACGACCATCATATCCTACTAAGTTCTGGTTCCACTGAGATGTATGATTTCACTCTTTCTGTTAAGCACACTGAATAGCTTTGGTGCTGAGTTTGAGTAATTAACCTGACGTTCGTTCTCCAAAATATCACATACATTACACTGCATCAATGTGCTCTTAACCATAACCTACTGGTTGGATCACGTATTGACTGCGTCCAATGGAAACAGACACCCTTTAGGTGAAAAAACGCACCAATAATCACATGTGATAGTTTTTCTGCGTCATGGGTCTGTGTATATTATCCGTTATCCGCATGGGTTAGATGTCTTCAATTATACCGAGTATCTGAATTATAAAAAGGGGGAATTAATAGATTTCCTTAAATTTTGGGTTACAATATTTGGGAGTTTTACTGTGATTCTTCATAGTAAGCTGCATCATAATGAATGAACATGCAGAGGCAGGTATGTGCTCAAACAGATGCCAGGGCGTGACATCGTCACTGTAGGTACCAAGGGGTGCTCGTATATGGATTTCAATAAGACGGGCGCCGGATAGCAGTTTTACGCGGATGACCAAGAGTTGAGTTACCAGCGATGGCACCCGAAATGTGGTTTGTGAGCGATTAGTAGGTGATCTTCTCAGTGAAACTGACAACCGACAGTCTAAAACGTATGACAATCTTCTAAGCCCTGTTCGCTCAAACAGTTCCAGTTCCCATTAGAATAAACAGGGGTGGAAGTTTACCACTGGTGGATGTACTACTTGCCGGAAGCCTGGACGGAACAGTCACTCGCATAATACGTAGAAAATCCACCTGGACCGGGCACTGGGTCGGTTTTACCCGCTGAATTCAAACATGGAAGAGCGAAAACTCCGTTTTTTGGCTCATGTACTTCCGGTCAACCAGCGACTAAACAGCAGCTTATAGAAATCTGGTTTTCTAATTGATATCCAGAAAGATTTATCGAGGTGATTATCCACTCTAAATGTGATAGGCTTTCGATCACCAATTGTGAACTATTTTGTTTTTGTATCCAAGATAAGAACACGGTCGCGCCAGCAGGGTTTCACAATACACTTGGCTCATGCAACTAGGGATAATCATCTCCAAAGCCGTTTTCATAGTGTAAACGATCAGTCTAATTTTTCTGTTGTTTGTTAGTTTGTAGCTTCAGCGGCACGTAAATCGGCAGGAACGGCCGGACCCTTTCACAGCTGGCATCAGAACAAATCCTCAGGTATATGCTATGCGGAATTGTAGAAAGCAATATTACGACAGATACGGCAACTGCTAAGCCGCAAAATCCCCTGGGGCATAGGCCAAATATACGATCCGAGTCGTTCGCTGCGTAGCAGTGAGGCTATGCCGTCAAGCTCTGCTTTTTTGCACAGCTCCAGGAGGCCTGGAGTTGGATGCTGGAAACTTTGCGAACGATTTTTTTCGTACTTATATTTAATCCATACTCAACCGCCTATTTTATCTGGTCATGATTCACTTTCATCATCTACTACTAGGATACATAATAGTAGCTGAAAAATGTTATACAAACCAACCTAGGAGCACACGGATGTGGCCACTGTTGTGGTTCGCACTGCAATGTGACTATAAAATTGATACAGATTTGAATGCGTAATCAAAAGCCCAATTTGTCGGTGAACATCGAGTGAATTGGTTGGTTCTTTTAGACTCGTACGAGTGAACCGAAATCAAATAATTCTTGCAAGCTCCTTTGCGTTTTAAGTTAGCGAGAATCTATTCGTGGCAGTGACTAGGTAATTCGGCGCTCTGTGTGAAACTTCATAGTCTGGTGTTTGGTGGGCTTTTCAATGAACTGGTATCCTTCGCCCGACTAGTTAAGCAGTAATGGATGCAAGTGCACTCACTCAATGCTAAGACAAAAAGTTTTCTTACCCCTATATGTCCAGTTAAATGAATATGAGTCTTTGGATAACTGAGGGCGGCAATCCGATCGAAGAAGACGTCCAGGAATGGTGTTGGATATTCGATGAAAACGCTGAGTTGAATGGTAGGAAATTCCTGGATCAAATGAAAAAGAAACAATTTGACTAAACTCCTAAATCTGATGTAACAAATAAAAATTGCTATTTTCTCTTAATTAACGAAAGCTTCTTGTAGCACCTATGTCAACATATTTGTACATTTCTTGGTTGTGGTCTCTACCGTTGTCATTCTAAACACTTCGTGAAGCATACCAAAGGTCTACATCGCTCCGGTGTCATTCAGCAATGTGAATTCGTCTGAATGAAGTCGCATGGTGGACGAAGAAGAAAGTGAGACAGGAGGGAAAACAGGTGCCGGCGTGCCACGAACATCTGAGTCGTCCACATCTCGTACATTCAGTAAAACAGTTGGAACAAAGACCGAGAGGATGAATTACACTGACATTAGTTAGCCGCGACAGCTATCGGTGCCTCTAGCCAAGCACAAGGAAAATTATACTTGGTATAGACCCTTATGTAGTAAGAACTGTCGAAAAACTCCAATTGAGTTCGACACTGTCCATTTTGTTGGTTCTTAAACCTGTTTTGTTAGTTTAAATATTACCAGAGCTTGTTCTGGACGGCACTTGAATGTTGTGAATGTTAAAAGAGCTAGTACCAACATTAATTTCCTCTTCAATGTCTACGTTTTTACATGCGACACCAACACTTCAGTCGCCTTGGTCACCAATACCTTCTTCAACGCAATATCTTTATTATCCTTCGGTTTATCGTTTTAGATGATATGGTTATTATGGTTGTTCCCAACTTACTACTGAATTACTAGCCCTGTGGTTCAATAACATGAGACTGTGGATATAATGCTTGAATACTAATCAAATTATAAAAAAATTAGCATACATTCACATACTATGCTCAAAAGTCTCATGTTTCCTTTAGGAAGCACGAATAAATCAGGAACACCAATCAACTCCACGGAGATTTCATAAGTTCATGCATCCAGCCCGGAGAAGTGACTTACTCCCTGTTCGTCCAAGTCAATGATTCTTTCGTTACAATGTTGGCAACCCAGAGATGGTGTCCAGCTATGATCCAAATAGTTTGTCAGTGAGTTAAACTCAGGCTTCAAACGAGAAAGACAGGGGATAAAAATCACTTGGGACGAAATAAAAGAAAAATGGAAGGAACTGGTAACACTATGTTTGGAAATCTGAGTACCACGTTTTTGTCGACTGAAGTTTCCCAACGTGAACCGTCGGCCTCCATGTAAAGCGTGTTATTTCCAGTGTCTTTCGGCCAATCAAGTTAAGTATACCTTGGTGCAGTGCATATATTAGATACATCAAAGTCTGCGATAGCAAGTTAGCTGAATAATAAAATCCTTTTGAAAGTACGCGCCTAATGCGTAGAACGTTCCCTCAGTTTTTCTATAGTTAATCAACGGGAATCAATCTTTCCTTTCATCGAAATTCAAGATAAAACTGTATCGCAAAATGAAACTTGTATATTTGTTGATATCGACCGACAGCTTACTCACTCATCTGTTTTTCGGGGATATTATTGAGTGACTGAATTCGGCATCAGAGCACTGGTAGGCTGTGTTCTGCAGTGCGCTACATATGGAAGACGATAGCGCTGCCACTTTTGTGCTGCGCGAGGATAGCAGCCTGATCAGAGGTAGCACTACTGCTGTTTTCTTTAGTAAATTCATTATTGCTTGGTATAACATTTTGAAGATGAAGCATGCCACCGAAATTTACACTGAGGAGCAACATAAGTTTACTGTTGTCGGCCCACAGGCAAATCCGGAAGAAATTGTGAACATGGTGACATGAACGTCAGTTTCTCTGATAAATTACGCTAAAATACATTTGAATTTGCTGAACATTTATGAGTAACCGGTGGGTGGTGAGTAACCAAATACTCTACACACTGTTTGTTGTCCTAATTACGGTTTTTCAGAGTTCTGTAAAAATCAATCATTTTAGCAAACGCGTGCATTTTGTCCTTGAGTAATGCCATATGTTGAAAAGAGGTGGCTCATCATCAAGAAGGCAAACTGAAAGGCCTCACAATGAAGAGTATCACTATCATAATTTTCGTTATAGAAATTTTAAGTGATTTATGTCGGTTTTACACGCAGACGCAACAAAATCTGCTTAAATTTGATTTTTCCGCGTATTTAGGTGCACATCATTTCAACTAATCAGGACACTAGTTGACTGTTGAAAAAAATTCCTCATAAATACAACCTTTTCAGGCACGTCACAATTACCTTTTTGAGAAGAAAACTCTTCATTAAAAGGGTCGATATTCCTTGAGTCCGATTCACAGATTATTAGAAACGGAATTGAATACCTCTTGTTCAGTCCTATGGATGTACTGTACTATGAAAATTCATTACAATTATAGTACATCCCGACATTCTGGATTTCGTGTTTGAAGTGAACAGCCTCCTAAAATCCACAAGCCAGGTGTTCCAATAAGGCTAGTAGTGGATGGCATAGGCTATCCACTAAATGAGCTAGCCAAGTTCTTGGCTGGTATACTAAAACCACTCGCGGGGAAATCAAGTACCTTCATCAGGAATTGGTACGACTTTGCCAAAAACGTCGTAGGGTTTCTTTTGGAGGTGGACGAAGTCCTTATGAGTTTCGACGTAATTTCAATGTACACAAACATCCCTAGGGCAGATGCTCTGGAGATAACTAGGAGGCTGTTAGTGGCAGAAATGACACTCAGGGAGTGGACACAGATCTCGGTGGGTGAAATGGTGGAAAGCATAAGTGTGTTTGAATCTTCGTNTTGAGTCCGAAGATTATTAGAAGCGGAATTGAATACCTCTTGTTCAGTCCCATGGATGTACTGTATTATGAAGATTCATTACAAGTATAGTACATTCCGAGATTCTGGATTTCGTGTTTGAAGTGAGCAGCCTCCAAAAATCCACAAGCCAGGTGTTCCAATAAGGCTAGTAGTGGATGGCATAGGCTATCCACTAAATGAGCTAGCCAAGTTCTTGGCTGGTATACTAAAACCACTCGCGGGGAAATCAAGCACCTTCATCAGGAATTGGTACGACTTTGCCAAAAACGTCGTAGGGTTTCTTTTGGAGGTGGACGAAGTCCTTATGAGTTTCGACGTAATTTCAATGTACACAAACATCCCTAGGGCAGATGCTCTGGAGATAACTAGGAGGCTGTTAGTGGCAGAAATGACACTCAGGGAGTGGACACAGATCTCGGTGGGTGAAATGGTGGAAAGCATAAGAGTGTGTTTGAATCTTTCAGTTTGTTTTTGACACAACTATTTTCTCACAAGGACAAGGTCTTACAATGGGATCTTCAATATCCTCAGTTTTAGCTAATATCTATATGGAACACTTTGAACAAGTGGCCTTGGCCGGATATCATTGTCCACTATTGGGGATGTCAATACCCCCTCAAAAAAAACTCTGTATTTTTATGTGTGCTAGCATCTTCAAGGCATCTTCAAGGTCAAACTATGAATATATATATATATATATATATATATGGGTGTTATGTTGACGACTCCTTCATTGTATTAAAGCGTGATAACGTGAACAGCTTCCACAACTACCTCAACAGTTTAAATCCTCGCATCAAGTTTAGCATGGGCTGTATAACATATAAGAGTGGTGGAAAATTAAAAGCTACTATCTACCAGAAATGCACAGACACAGGAACCATCTTAAACTATTTATCAGGACACCCAACGTCCGTGTACGCCAGCATTGTCTCATCGATATTTGGTCGAGTCAGAGACCTGTGCACAGAAGAGAGCGACCTAACCGCAGCTCAAATCGAGATTGCCAACAGACTTAAAAAATTGGATGCCCATTGAGTTTGTTTTGGGAGACCATTAAGAAGGACATTGGCTCCGGTATCTACACCTAGTAAGGAATGGATTGGCACAACATTCGATCCGTATAAAGCCAACATTCGAGTGGCTTTCCAGAAGATAAAACACTACGCAATTGAAAGATCCCTCCCTGTTGAAAGGGCTAGCGACTGTGTGTATGAAATTAGCTGCAATGATTGCACTAAGGTTTATATAGGACAAACTACCAGGGAATTGTACCACAGAATTGGTGAGTATAAGAGAAGGATAAACAAACCATCAGGAAATGCTGAAAAGCTGATCAAAGACTCAGTGATAGGAGTACATGCGTTAGATACAAGACAGAATAGATCTGGTGAGGGTTGAAGTTTTAAGACGGGGACTGCGATTCACACCACAGTGGCTGATAACCGAGGCAATGGAAATTACCAAGCATCATAGCGTGAATAGAATCGTGGGTGTTGAACTAGCGAGCGTATGTAGAGATAAACCGAGCTGACACGTGACTGTGTGGTTATTAATGAGCGTAGAATCATTAGGAAAAACAGGGGGGTTGCGGAAATCCCAATCCGACCAAAGTTCACAGAATCCCTCTTACACAATTATCGCGGCAATTGCCCACTCACACACAGGAATACCAAAAGCTGATCAAAGACTCAGTGATAGGAGTACATGCGTTAGATACAAGACAGAATAGATCTGGTGAGGGTTGAAGTTTTAAGACGGGGACTGCGATTCACACCACAGTGGCTGATAACCGAGGCAATGGAAATTACCAAGCATCATAGCGTGAATAGAATCGTGGGTGTTGAACTGGCGAGCGTATGTAGAGATAAACCGAGTTGACACGTGACTGTGTGGTTATTAATGAGCGTAGAATCATTAGGAAAAACAGGGGGTGGAAACTCAACCCGACCAAAGGTCACAGCATCCCTCTTCCTTACACAGCTATTGTAGCACTGGCTCATCCACACAGACCGACGAAAAGTGCAAACGACGTTCAAGAGGGATCATCATTTGAACCAGAAGCACTAGGCCCTAAGCTGGACCCAAATCCATTTAGGTTTCCCCATCAAATTAACACTTGGTGACCCACCCTAACACACAATATCACTTGGCCGACACCCAACAGAGATTTAGCTTGACTTAGCTGATTGGTTCTCCTTCCGCCTCAAATCTCGACCAACCTCACTTGACCGGACAGAGCTTTTGTGTCAAAGGCGAAACACTGTCCAGCAATAAATTTACCAAACTTTTCCGAAAACGATGACCAGCCTCCTTCTTGCAGACTGTGTGTTCGCCCACAACACCTTGAATGCCACTGTCGTATAGCAGACCAACCGCTTCTGGTACGGTTTCTGGTATGCTGAATGATGTTAGGTGCAACAGATAACCAACCATTAGGCAACTTCCTAATAGCACTCAGGAAAAGGCCCGCAAGTTGGACCAGAACCTTTAACAATTAGTGATGAATTGTGTTCTCGTTTGGATTTCTCCAAATTCAACAACGGACTTGGAAAAATCATTTCAGAAGAAGTAAATTAAGACTGAATACTCATGTTTTCCGAGATTATGTGTAACCAGTACCATTAAAGTGGACGTAAGATAAAGCGGGAACTAATGTCAAAATACTACTGAACTCTTTGGGATAGTTCCGCATCGAGTATAGTTTACCGGCACTAAATTTCAAACAACTCACCTTTATTGGACCATTTCCATGGGCCACAATTGGCCTTGTATTGGTTTTAGTGTTAACCAGGTATCCAGTATCGTTTGCAAACTGCAGTTCCACTTCAGCTAAAGTACAGAAGTAGCAGTTATGTTGTGGTGTAAGAAGTTCCAGTACTCGCAACTACAAAGAGGCACAACAACCAAGGCCTTTTGAAACGAAAAAGAAGTAGTCTGTTGTTCAGGAAGGAGGATTTCTCAGTGTAAAACACCAAAGCCGATAGACCAAACTTCGGGCTTACCAAACATCCTGTTCTGATAGAGAAAACAATAAAATACAATACTCAATTATTAGGCAGTGTGGGAAGGTTTTGAATAATCATGGAAGAGAAACGTACTTACACTGAAACTGCTGGTAATAACTCAAGGGTTGTGATTAACGAAAACCTGATTGTCCAACCAACCTTAGTGGCTGGAATGGTGGTGGAGAATAACCAAACCAGTTAGTCAAAAGCTGTCACACGACCTGAAAGCGACCCTCATCACTTGCAAAAATATACGATCTTTTTATCTAACATGGATATCGGGGATAACAACTGCCAGTATATTATGACCAGTATCAGACTCACGTCTCGATGCATGTGAACACGAATCTGATTGATAGTAGTGGCCAGCAGTCGCCCCCACCTGGCTTCATTATCAATAGACATATTTTGTTCACATTCACACCACTCTCGTTTAAACAGTCGTCCTGTTGTCCTGGCGCAATTATTCTGGTGAATCCGCACTGGACTCGAGTTTCGCTCTTGTTAGAGCTCATCAGTAGTGCATATCCACTGGCCGTGCAGAGGTTTGAACTCCGGTCACCTGATATGCGAGGCGAACGTGTTACCACTATTCCTCCAGCGCACGTTGGACGCATTTTAATTCTCACGCTTGAGCTGGTGTGGGTTCACCAGAATAATTGCGCCAGGACAGCAGGACGACTGTTCAAACGAGAATGATGTGAATGTGAACAATACACATCCCGCAAACCCCACAACAGATATATTTTTTTGTTATCTATACAACCTGCTTGAACTCATCTCTCACGTTTATTCTGATTCAAAAGCCTAACATTCTTACAGTGCAATAAACCAGCCAGCAGCTGTTTTCTCACTATTCTAATCGTTCGGCATGTTCCGTTATGAGAAGGTTTTATCCCAAACAGTAAGAAAATTGACACCGTTTAACCAAGCAACACTGTTTCAGAGGTTAGCATCTGATGCCAGAATTCTCCACAGCTTGCCAAAAATGAGTTAGTCCATCAAGCATTCTATGACTTAGGCAATGCAGAAAATTCCAAGAACTACTTACTGAATGCACCATGCAGATTTTGAAAAACTGCTGATTTGGTATCTAAACCAATGTTCAGTTGTTCCTGGAAATTGGGAGAACAAAGCCGAGATTAACGGAAGGGTAGCCTCCGGAAGAACAAATCCAAAGTTGTGTAAACTCTGACGACATACTGAAGAGATTCATTTCTTGGAAATACACTCATTTGCAAATCAATTTGGTTTTCATGAGAGACTCAACTGAATCTCTAGTTTATGATATTCTACAAGTGAATGTGTTGCACACAGGCCACCTCATGTTTCAGTTGGCACGATATTCGAGATATCGCAGTATATTTTAATAAAGGAAACTACTCACAAGGTTGCTGAAAACTTCGACAGTCCACGACCGGTTTCGCCCTTCTTGGGGCTCATGAGTTAGGCGCAGTCCCAGGGTTTCCGTCAATATGTTCTACTTGAACCCAAATTGGACTGTTTTCGAGAAATACACTCATTTGCAAATCAATTTGGTTTTCATGAGAGACTCAACTGAATCTCTAGTTTATGATATTCTACAAGTGAATGTGTTGCACACAGGCCACCTCATGTTTCAGTTGGCACGATATTCGAGATATCGCAGTATATTTTAATAAAGGAAACTACTCACAAGGTTGCTGAAAACTTCGACAGTCCACGACCGGTTTGGCCCTTCTTGGGGCTCATGATGTAGGCGCAGTCCCCGAGTTTCCGTCAATATGTTCTACTTGAACCCAAATTGGACTGTTTTCGAGAAATACACTCATTTGCAAATCAATTTGTGTTATATCTGTTGATTCGCCAGCTTGTGGTATCTGCTGCTGACCCGCTCCAGCGCCTGGTGTCGGAGAGAAAAGGGCTCACGGAAGGGAACACAGTAGCTATATTCCAACAAAGTGGGTGCGAGTGCGAAAAGTACAACGGCCTCAAGCTTTCTATTGGAAGGACACTGTCTGAACTTGGTCCAATGCTGACGTACGCGGTCTGGCTTTGGTACGAGTCAGCGACGCCTGCATATTGCGGAGGCGTTGTCTGACCTTGATCAACGCTGACTCGCGCTGTCTGCGTTTGAGGCAAGGCTGTGACGCACTGCATATTGAGGGGGCGTTGTCTGTCTGGTCAACATCTAGCGGAGCTGAGGGTCCCCGTAGATTCCGGGCATTCAGTGGTTGCTTTCGGAAGCTGACCTTCCTGATAATTTGGTTTTTCAAGTAGATCATAGGGATGGCGGAAACTCGGGGACTCTGCCAACCTGATGAGGCCCAAGAAACCGGTCGTGGGCTGTCGAAGAGTTTTCAGCAACCTTGTGAGTAGTTTCCTTTATGAAAAGATTCATTTCTGGTTATCAATAAAACCAATTTGTCCAAAATTAGTTGGCTGGATTCAAATTTTACATTGCCCTTGGGGATCTGTATGTTTTTACTCTCAGCACCTGATACTGGTGATTCAGCTACATCATAGATCTGAGGTCAAATGAAATTAACAGAGTGAAGTTGCTTTCAATTTCCAGTGTTTGACATTGAGAAATGCTGTTTCAACTCGAGTGAAGAATTTATTGCTTGTTATTCGAAGTCGCTAGCTAAGATGCAGCACTTTTCGGTAAAATTGCCGCCAATAATAGAACTTACGTTGTTTTGTCGCTGCCATGAACTCTATCCGATGATGCAAACTTCAGAAAAGAATCTAACTAACCCCCAGCATTTTTAGCGAAATTGTCGATCGGTGGTGTGTTGAAATATTGGTAGCTTGGGCGCATTTATTGATTGTTGATCAAGTAGCCGTTGATCTGTTCGGTGACCTTGTGAACGTTTCAAACAACGAGATATCAACATCGACCCACCCAAGCGCATATTGGTGACGTCTTCTCGTTTTGCAACGAAAGCTTTGCAAATGACTTGTCTAGTTTGGTGCAAATATCATCAGCCACCCAACCAATTAAAGTGTTTATCCAGTTATCAGTCTTTTCAAATGACTTCCGATCGATATGACCTTTGTCTCAGCATTGCGTCACAAGTAAGGGACCTACCTAAATGGCTTTTGCGGGGCCTTTCGAAAGGATTTTTGTTTTACTCATAGAGTATTTTGGTATACACTAGTTACACATTAAAAAGCCATTTTTGGCACACTATGATATCACCTTAAGAGTGATGCCTTTTCTTGAGCTGAGATGACTTTTAAACACGTCGCGCTATCGTCGCATGCGGGGCAGATAAATTAGACATCCTTACAGGGAGTTCAAGCAGCCGTTTAATTACACAATGGAATATTTTCTTTCTAGGCAGTGAATGATCCTGTGATTGGGAAGCCTCACATGACAGACAACAGTAGTAACCTGTAGAACTGCCGTTAGCCCCTGTCATCCGGAGAGGAACAACGTGCAGTAACCAAACAGTACACCAGGCCGTTAAACTGTAAAATAGTGAGAAACCCTAGGTGGATATTGAAGTTTAATAAGCGCTGAGTTTTCATGTGCTTTTTCCTAGCTAGATTCCAGCTTCAATATCTGTCATCTTTATCATAAACGACTTGTAGTAAAACGAGTTGTGAATGCATATATGCTTACGTTCAGTGAGGTAGTTAAAAAGCATCGCCTTCTTCCTAGCTAGATTCCAGATTCAATATCTGTCATCTTTATCATAGATGCCTTGTAGTAAAACGAGTTGTGAATGCATCTATGCTTGCATTCAGTGAGGTAGTTAAAAAGCATCGCCTTAATGTCCGTATATTACGACACTATTTGTAAACCTGATCGGAAACAATAGGGATTCCCGGTGACGTGTTGCCTCTTGATGGATGCCTAGAATAGTCAGGGTCCCCAGAAGTGTCATCCATCGCAGTTATAGGATGGTTGTTTCTTCGAATTGACACCACCGGAAGACAGAGCCTCGTCTTGGAAGCTTCCCCGTGAAACAGTAGGGGAACCTTAAAAACCATCAGGCTTTCTAAGCAGAACTGAGGACCTGCAAAAGGGAACTTGCTACAAACACCGATTTCAACTGTTAGTAGTTAATTTTCTAACAAAAGAATGAAACAAATTTCAACGCCATCATTATCATCGCCACTACTGTTATCATGACCTAGAAATGTATTCATACAAGTGTTCGCGAGACTGGAATGTTTCCGTGCCTCAGATCCCAGCACGATTCAACTCGCTAAAATGGCACAAAAAGCGTCTAATATGGTCTGCTCTCAGTTATCTTTTACTCTATCAAACGGTGATCAACCGAAAGCCATTACAAGTTGCTACAGTAATACTGCACAGCTAACTGAATAAAAATGTCTAACACCCTGCATCTCTATTCATTTGAATTTGTGATCGACGTACAAATACACATTGATGGCTTAGAACGATCACTGTAACGGTGAGAAAGATCAGCACGTACCCGAAGCGCCTGGTTGAGGTAAATGGTTGTATAGTAGAGCTGATCGTCACGGTCATCTGCAATTTCTGCCTCAGTTACAATTCGGTACAGGTATGAAGCTGGTCCAATGAATCCACCCGAATTGAGGAACCTTTTCTCTCTCGGTCCCACCTGAGGATACATATTCTTGTTGGGAAGCAATAAAGCGTGAGAGATCGTTTTTGTTATTGGTGCAAGGATTTTCGGAACAGGAACTACTTACATATGCATACGTAGACTATCAGAGTGTGGCAGATTAGGTGGTAAATGCTTTCAACACCATTAATGATGTGAAATTCGGAGCTCCTGAGGTGGATAAAATCAAGTGACATTCTTCGTGCTTATTGGTGACTCATCATTCCACATTGAGCTACGTGATTAACTGGAAGGGTAACTGTGATAAAGGTTGTACTCATCGCCCCCATGCTTTCACCTCGAGTGCAAGCTTTAAAGCCCTTACTTTGATCCAAAGATACTTGATCTTCTGCAAGGAATTAAGTATCTTTCCCGAATAACCACATTGACATTTAACCCACTGTTCTGAATGCAAGAGCCGACTAGCCAGCTTTAACTATTCGCCATCAGTCTCCTTGTCCGGTTGATCAAGAATCTTNTTTCACCGCTGAATACAACCGTCTGAGTAAGCTGAGCTATTCACCCGAGTGTGGTTGCTACAAGGATGTTTAGTCTTCAAATGCCATTGCTGGGCTAAGGTGTGCCAACAATTTCTAACTCAAATCGCTCTTCTAAAAGAGGACAAACTCTGCTTGTTGATTCTCCTAATTTCGTCAAAGCCGCTACACACAGCCAGTTTGATGTGATTGGCAGAGAAACACCCGGAGCTACTCCAGCCATTCTACTATTCCCACCAAATATGCTTGACATTCTCCTTCAGGAATTTCATATGCTAAATACTACCAGTTTCCTGTTCTGTACTTTGTTCGTTTTGATTAACTGCTACGGAACTTTTCACGTACTGACTTTCCCTTTTGCTTTAGGTAAAACACATATTACAGGACAAAACCATCTCGGTACTATTTGTCGGCTGTATAAACTTGTAGGTGTGAGGAAATGTGGTATGAGTAGGGTCGCTTCGGCAATACTCGTGATACGGTCGACATGAAAAAACAACAGGCCTATTCTGTATTATGTTGATGTGATCCATTGGTGCATACAGTTTCGTAAGTGAACTCCTCACAGGGAGTCACCAAATGAGTGTGTTTCGCTTCTTTACCGAATGTGCAAGCCATCGTCGTTAGTTCATTGTACCCTTTCGGGTATTTTGAGTTTCGCTGATTGCAGATGATGCATTTTCTTAATATAGCAGTTGGGGCACGTAAAATGGTAATGTGATAGAGCCTCGCTGTTTGTTTTGAAGCCTCCAGGCCTGAAATGAAGTCGACAGTTTAGGTCGAATCGAATTTCACACCGGAAGTTATTCAGTCATGCAATAATAAATTATGAGGAACACTATTTAGAAGTTATTTAAAAATCTTGAGGTAACGCTTACTGCTAAATTTTTGTCTGGCCAGCAAAATCCTTCCGCGCCGAACAAGACGGTGTAGTTGGACTTTTCATACTCCTCCAGAAGTCTGGTCTTTGAGTCCATGAAAACAACATCGTAACTAAATGAAAATGAGAAACTTTGGTTAACTGGTCGTTTGAAAGCATAGTCTTATAGTGCGGGAGGATGGAGGGTAGAAATACACTATTGAATTTCATTCTAAACAGTGAGGAAAAGACTGGTAAAACGTTTTGAGCTACTAAATGTGTAACAAAAGATACAAAAGACCGAAGACTCGCACTACTCTCAACAACCTTCATCAGAGATTGATTGCTGGGTAATTAGATGGGTTGCATCTAAGAGGTTTATTGCATTTCAATTTCCAATTAACTAAACCTATATATATATATATATATATATATATATATATATATATATATATATATATATATATATATATATATATATATATATATATATATATATATATATATATATATATATATATATATATATATATATATATATATATATATATATATATATATATATATATATATATATATATATATATATATATATATATATATATATATATATATATATATATATATATATATATATATATATATATATATATATATATATATATATATATATATATATATATATATATATATATATATATATATATATATATATATATATATATATATATATATATATATATATATATATATATATATATATATATATATATATATATATATATATATATATATATATATATATATATATATATATATATATATATATATAGGTTTAGTTAATTGGAAATTGAAATGCAATAAACCTCTTAGATGCAACCCATCTAATTACCCAGCAATCAATCTCTGATGAAGGTTGTTGAGAGTAGTGCGAGTCTTCGGTCTTTTGTATCTTTTGTTACACATTTAGTAGCTCAAAACGTTTTACCAGTCTTTTCCTCACTGTTTTGAATGAAATTCAATAGTGTGTTTCCACCCTCCATCCTCCCGCACTATAAGACTATGCTTTCAAACGACCAGTTAACCAAAGTTTCTCATTTTCATTTAGTTACGATGTTGTTTTCATGGACTCAAAGACCAGACTTCTGGAGGAGTATGAAAAGTCCAACTACACCGTCTTGTTCGGCGCGGAAGGATTTTGCTGGCCAGAAGACGTTATACACATCTGGATTTGTCGATCTAAAGAAATTTGTCCCTTGAATAACAACATGGATGTCAAACGCATACACAAAAATTAGGTATCCAGCTCGAGCACATAACATGTTCTTGTAGTCCCTTCTATTCACAGTTTCCGAAATTGTTTCATTCCGGCAAAATAAGGATATCAGAGGGAAAATGTACATGCTAGCCAAAGGTCCAGTCCGATTATATGCTTATGAAAACTGTGGACAGGAATACTTCGGTGTCCCAAATGGATTTCCATTTACTGAGCCACCGCAGAAGTCACCAGTGAAAAATTTTATCAGACTTGTCTCTTCAAGTTCTGAAAGCTGCTTGATAAAGGTCCACATCAGCTATTTGGCGATTGTTCCGTTGAAACGATGTTCACAAAAGCCTGCGTGTACGCCTTTCCCATTTCCGCTGAAGCTGCCAAATTCTAGTCACTGGCAAGTATAGCACATCAAAGCCGTCGTTTGGTACAGCTGACTTTCCTCGAGGTTCCGCGTTATGTCAAGTTGTTCGGTTACTTGGTAAATGATCTGTTATGAACCAGATATATGAATTCCACCTCAAAGTATGTGATGGATTCTGCTATCCTAACAGTAGGGTACTAGGCCCTTTTGCTTAGTGTTGAATCTAACTCGGCCTCATGATGATTCCCCTCGTTCATTTGCTTACTACACGCATGTGCATTTGACCCTCATCTGTTTCGCTCATATCTACCCATCGTTCACCTTGCCGCAAAGAACGCCCCGAAAGACACTGGTATATTTGCATGTGTGTGTATATATGTGTGAATGTGCTCATGCGTGTTCGTAGCCTGTTTGCTGAAACTCCCCTGCCTTGTGTGACCACGCCGCTAATCAGAATCACGAGCGGACCTCGGAACGGAAGACTACTCCCACACTAAGCAATCCAACATTCCGCTCGCCGTAGTTTGGCATGCGGACCTTGACACGGCACTGTGCCGGTCAGTGACAGACCTGTGAACTTGTTGACGCTACGAACGTAGACAACTGAGGCTTGTTGTATAACCTTGCTTACCTTTGTGTCAAACCCAATTCTTCCTTTTGATATTCGGGATCGTCAAGCCTACGCGTGACGCGTATCGCGAACCTCAACACATACCTTGGCGCTTACTAAGACCAACAGGTACTCTAATAATCCTAGATTTGAAGGAACAGCACACTTGAATGCAGAGCTATTCACTGACCAACCTGAACTAAGCGGTTAAAAGCTATCAGACACGAAATTAAAACCTCGCTCACACCGTTTCTAGAGAGTCAATGTTCTCAAGCTTCCACTTGAACGTTCCTGTGTGTTGTTGGAATACTAAGCGATAATGAACAAACACTGCAAAGTGGTTCAGTAAGTTCCATATCAACCTCCTGTCAGAAGCAGGAAAGGTGCTGTGACCAGACACAATTAGCATGCTTTCTCAGTAGCATACACCATCACACTGGTATATTGCTATAACCACAAACATTGGTAGAGATGCATTGTTGCCATTATCCATAGGCAAGGGCCACACAATTGATCTTGACAACGCCCTCATTGAATTCGCGGATTTATCAGAACTGTTGACGAGCGTGCGCTGCAAAACCAGGATTTTGTTTGTATTCGTGTACTATAGAACACTGAAAAGTTCAATAGATTCTCAGCATTAAACTGTAATGAAATAAAACTGTTGGATTGGATAGCTTTTCTCCAGCCATGGAAAACTGCTTATCACCATGTGTGATCACCTGTCGATTAGTTTAGTCGACAGAACTAAATTTATGTGCCTTTCATTAGGAACGCATCCACAGAACATTTCAAGCGCCTTCAAATAGAGGTTATGTTACAATATGGACATATTCATGCTTCCCCCGTAATGAGTGTCACTGTTTTAATGGTCTTCGTTTCTTGCAGCGTTATGGAATAAGATACTACAATCCGACGTTTCGGTTGCCGCGGAAAACATTCTTCGGGGATTTTTACACCCAGTAGAATACTGGCCAAGCTCAGCATTATTCGGATCGGTCATCATGTCTTGGATTTTAGCTTATGCCAACCATGGATTTTGAATGAAAATTTACATAATCCACTCATTTAGGCAGATACATACATTAGGAGCCCTATCATCCACGCTGTCGAACGCACAGGTTTCGGATCATTGATTAATCGTGTCAAGGAATCATGCTCGGATAAGTCTATATGAAAAGATGAGTTGAAACTGCTCGGTAGGGCATAACAGTAAAATAGCCCCTAGGGTTCACTAATTAACGAATGGAGGACGGTGAGTCAGAGATGAAAATCTGGTGGTCACCAGTGGAATACCCTGTGGAAATGACATTTCAGACGCTGTCCGAAAGAATCTTCAGGATTATGCTAGAACATTCGTCAAAATCGCTAACAACTTTTAACGGCACCTCGTAATGATAAGGACTCTATCGAACCAAAACACCGCACAAACTTCGTCTACCGAATTCCCTGTGTAGAGTGCCCAGCTTGATAGCAAGACAACTCCACGTGGAAATCACAGAACACAAGCGACATCCGCGTCCCCTCCCCTTAATCCAAACGAGTCTAAAAAACGTGAGCGCGACCCAAACACTTCACTTCAAACCATCCAATCAACTTTGATAGTACTCTTATAATGCGGTCAGGATTATAGTCACAGGGGGAACGGACTTGCTTAGAAGCACTAGAGATCAGCGCAAAGCCGAACGGTAGCGACTGAGCCAGCATCCCGTCTAATTAGCCTAAAATTACTGCGTAGCTAAGTAGACATAGTGGTCAGAGCTCGAGCAGGCATCTCAACAATGACGCGTCATGGCCAGGACAACATCAGAGGTACATTCAGCCAACGTACACACAAAATAACGCATGCACGCACACGGCTAAAAGGCATCCACACACGCTGATTGCATCAAACTGCCGACTGATCTCAGGAACACACCAATCAGAAGACATGTTAGCGGACCCATAATTCAAACTATTGTAAAAATCCTTGGAAAAGTTGCGCCGTTGTAACAGGAACGTCGGATTACATCTTAGTGAACAATACTAATATTGGACTTTAAACTTCCCATAGTATTTATCACGTGGTGCTCAGTTTGTTTAATGAGAACTGAACGGAGTTTATCTGGGAACTCCTAAGTCTATGTTTATGTTTTCCGCCATACTGGCTGTCTGCTGTTAGACCTGACAACGAAGTCAGCCAATCTTTAGCCTATAGATAAGTAGTATCGTGCGTATCCAAGTTAGAGGTAAGCAACAACAAAGTACATGGTCTATCAGCTAAAGCTCATGCTTTGATGGAAAATATTTGAATCCAAGAGACCTTAATCGTGTTTGCTTTTAAACTGTAATTATTGTTCGTTGATTTTTGGTGGTTCAGCCTTAATACGTAATCAGTAGACCCGGGACCACCCGTAACATTATTGGTTCTCTAGGACTGTCCAGACGATTGATCGACTGATCGACGAATGACCAAACGATTGGGTAACAGGCAAGGCGCAAAAAGGCACAGAGCTAACGCTGTAGCTTAGTTTGGCAGTGTAAAAATTTATCCTAATTACTATTTCGGCAAATTAGAAGACTTTTGAAAGCTGAGTGTTCAAAGTAATAACTCACCAAGACAGAATCAACGGTAGAACACAAGCGGTGCCTCAGAAGAATAATGAATTCGGGTTAACGAATTAGAATTGCGATTTTTTTGGGGGGATCTGTGAGTTGACGTTGACCATTATTTAAAGTTCGACCTGCATTTCTGGTTGATTACGCACAGCTGGAAGGTAGTGGACACAAGACACTGACGACAAGTCAATATTGGAATCATTTATGTATACGGCCGACGACCCTTTTCCTACTGTTCATAACTTAAGCTCCATCACCAGTGAATTGTAACTATGTTTCCCTTTACTACGAACGACCGCCTCTGTCTGCCTCAGTTTCATCCAGTTGAATCGAAAACGGCTACGTATCTAAACCTGTACGGAAAAGCTTGAGTTTCAAAACCTCGTGGACGTAATTCGCTGTCTACACAGAGCAAGTCCATCGAAATAGGTGTTTCTCTAACAAACAACACAAAATACACTGTCATTGTCTTCACCATAACTGGAAACATTTAAGAACTCCAAAGTCTCATTAAACAAAACCTTTTTTCTCGCATAAGGCTCATCAAAGCGACGAAATTTGATGCACTTAACCTGAAAAGATATACTACATTATACATGTTAAAGCATCTCAATGAAACAAACATGCTATCTACGAACCAAGTAGCCATTTCATATAGACCAAAGAGACTTTAAGCATGGGATTAAAGAAAAATCATTCAGCCATAACACCCTTCGGTGCCCAGCTGCCATGCTACCCGAAGGAAGCACGATGGCTGGGATACTGCCAAGTTGCCCAAGCCTAGACAGTGGAAGTCGGGAGTCAGAGGTCTGGTTCGAACCACGGACCTTCCAGTCAGTAAAGTCGCGCTCTAACCACTTGAGCTATCTCGCTCCAAGCATGGGATTCACTCGAGGTGAGTGTTTGTTCAGTTTTCCAGGGATTAGTTCTTACCTATCAACAAATAGGACCAAGAGATCGGTATCGCTTCTGTAATTTCGCAATTCGTCCCTTAATAGCCTAATTTTCTGACCACCTCCAGTAGACCGTGATACATCACCTCCATTCCAAGCCTGTCCAAGACCGAGTACCTACAAAAGATGTGGATGAAAACCATGTAGCACTACTAACCTTCACATTGAATTCATTGTTTCTAGCCGATCTCAAGAATCGTTCCAGAGCATCATTTGATTCCGTTGCAACTGTTAACACCAGTAATTCTAGAAAAGTGTTAAATTCTTGATGTTCGTAATACCTCGAGCATTGACCACAAGGGCACTGAGCAAGATTAGTATAATTCCGATGGAGTAGTTCATCGTTCAGTGGAGCCTTGGCAACGGATAATTTGAACGTGAATAATTTCGTCGGCTGAGACGCCAAATCAGTGTAGGCAGGATCTCCCAGCAGAGGGATTCTTCGAACTGATTCCTTGTTTCTTAGTTAACTAGAGGCTTCCTTACCGGACACTCGGAATTTGGCTGTGAGTAGATGCTTCTGGATGTTGGCGTTCCAATCCAGTGAGTTAACCTATTACACTGACTGAAAGCTTCACTTTTATTTCTGACGATAGCAAATATCAAAGCAGAATCTGGATACCTTCGACAATCTGATTCAGCGTTTCCACTGAGCGCTTACAGCGTAAGAAGCAATTTAACAGTGATTATGCAATTCAGCAAATAGAGAAGAGCGACCAAGATGATCTATCAACTAATGGGAATGACACTGGTTTCTGCGATGGTTCAGTAAGCTTTGGTTTACCTGAAAACCAGATGCATAAATTAAGGTGAAGCATGACTTTTAGGATTTTAGTTGTAACTAATTAACTTGACACTTAAGATCCAAATGCACGAAGCGAAAAAAACCAACTGAGAGGCAGAAGCGCTATCGACAATTAAAGAGCGATGGTGCTCATGAGCGTCGATTAGCCAAATGAGAATGAAAACATCTCTGGTGCAGCCAAGCGTTCGAAAAGTGAACAACTTTCAAGTCTTCAAATGGAAGTATCCGTTAGCCAGATAGCAGGTTTGGCGATTAGTTGGTACACCAACTACAGAGACTCATGGAATTCGGTAGAATATAGAGAACGAGATGAGTACACTGGACAGACATTTCACTTAAAATGCAAACGATCGGTGGAGTTTGAACAGCAACGAAAAGTGCGGTACGCAATCACGAAGTCACGCAAAAAACACGAGAAGAGCAACAGGAACTCAGGCCCCAAATTTTGGATAGTGTTTAGTTAAAAACAACTTGGATTTGCGAAGTCACTCCACAAGGAGCCTTATTGTGCCACGTGACTGACAAAGGGATGCCTCAAATAGACTGCGTGGTTTTGGTGTTCTGATAGTATTCTGTATGGTAAAGCGGTATCTCGTACTTTTTCACCTTGACAAGAAACCTAATCCATTGGGTAATCATTGCATGTCAACTGGATCTTTATCTGAAAAATGGAGATTTTGGCGTGAAGCAAACCCATGACTCTATCTATCCATCGGGATCTTTTTCAGGCCTGCAATGCGCAAGTAAAGCTCAAAGATGCAGTTCAGCGTCACTTAGAAGTTGCATTCCTAAGAAACAAGCGCAGGGGTTTGGTTTTTCATCGTCTCTTTGTCGTCCCAAGAAACGACTGAAGCCATCTCCTTGCCCATTTTGATTTCCGGGTAGCTCCTGTTTTCCATGCGGACTTAGCCGCTCATGGCCGAACGGTTAACTGTTCAAACTACTAGCCGGGAGGTCGCAGGTTCGAGACTACGCTTATAGGATGAGCTCTCCACAAGATTCCCAAATCTCCTCACACTACCAACTATTTCTGTTTCATTCAATGTGGCTGACTGAAAGCTCAAATAAAAATCCAAAACCACTAAAAGTAAAAGGATTTTCGTGAAATGTGATTTGACTTAATATTGAATCCAGTTTGCAAATTCAATCCCGGTCTTAAGTACCTGGTGGAGTTCTTTTCACAGCTAGAACCATCATTTGAGAATAATTGTCCAGTGGGTAGCGCTACTTCATTAACCAGGGGTACAGTTTGAACACATTCAATGACTTAATCCACACCAATCTCACAGTGGCGCCCAGCTTAAGGCTCCATAAGATGGATTGTCGTAGGTTGCCCGATTTCTCTGTCACATCAAACCAAACTAATAGACCACCCCCGTTGAAAGTATCCACAGAGAAACACTGGAGTTGGACAAAAGAGGATTCGGGAATTCCAGTATCCAGGTATACCGTGATACAGCTGGGTCCAGTAGCGCAACGAATGCAAAACTTCGAGATGAAATCGCAATCCGATGTTCCCGAAGATGAATGCGACGTATTCAGAACAAGGTACCCGCCGAACGGAAATGGCACATAACAAAAGCGTCAATATTGTTTGAGGATGGAATGAGATTCCGCCCGCTTGCCTGTCTGACTGGTCAGAATGAGCGGTTGATCCTACAGTCCTCTTTAGGGTAGGTACGGCTCTGTTGTGTTTATCATTCAATGGGGGGCCACAAGTCTATTATGGCTGAAACTTAACGAAATTTGGCTTTGCTCTTTGTGAAAAGTGTACCAGCTGTCTGCCGTTTTGTGAAACAGCTTTCAAATAAAACATCCTTTATGGATTGATCGCGCTTGGTTACGACGCAACGCGTTGACTTTGGAACAGTCTCCCTGGGTAAGCTGTTCAATGCCAGTCACACGGGAGTGGGACCATTAAATCCAAAGGCAACGTTTGGACGTGAGTCAGTAACCGCACCATTATCAGGCCCAACTTGGCTGCTGTGGCAATTTTTTCGCACCTCCGTGAGGTCGACCTTCTGGCATCCATTCACTGCGTCAACCAAATCCTCCAGCCAATGGCATCTGTACGTGTCACCAACATTTGTTTGACGTAAACCAGGGTTACTAACGGGCTATAGAAATTCTAGATTTTGGAAGCTAACTGGATGACTCTTCTTGTTCGGGTGACGAATAACAGGCAACTTTGCATAAACTAGTCATCTGTATTCAAGGAGCCACTAAGATGAAGAATTTTAAACTGGAAATAAACGGTATATTTTACGGACTAAGAGTGGAAACCTAACAAACTGCCATATTTCCTTGACTAAGGTCACTGAGGGTATATGCTTGTTATCTCGTCTTGTGGCATAGTACAACATCGTCTCCGTGTTTCAGGAGTGAGAGGCGAAGAATCACTTGAAAACGATTGCATTAATGAATCGTTTGCTTTGATATTTGAAGAAACCACGGAACAGCTACGTAAGAGGTGAAACTAGTGAAGATTTTTTGTTAAATAGCTTCCTGACGATCCACAGACAAGTGTCCTTCAACTTGCTTTTATTTGGCCTGCACTTTAATCGCCGAAGACTGAATTGCCGCACAAAAATTAAACCGTCTCTCCAGCTGCCACATTGAAATGAACTGTGATGGGTCTCTGCCGTGAGAAGTCTGGTAAGGATGTTGGATGCAATAAAATGCGGATCCACCGGCTGGTCGCCACATTGAAATGAACTGTGATGGTTCTCTGAGCTGCCGTGGGAAGTCTGGTAAGGATGTTGAATGCAATAAAATGCGGATCCACCGGCTGGTTGGTTGGCCACCTTTCGATGGAGTAGATCCAGGTTCCTTTAACTTCAGTCCATTTTTAATGCTCGCTAGGCTGCCGTTCCACTGACTTCCGGGAAGGCTCCCCTGGGATTCCTGTTGGTTTTTGTGGTGCCTACAGCGAATTTGCTTGAAGCCGACGAGCTTCTTGGTCATGAATGTACTAGAGACTTTTGTGCTCTTATAACCTGTAGATGACAGGAACAAATGAGTTTGATGGGTGTCATACATTGCGTACATAGTAACAATATCAGGTAACCATCATACAGTGAAAGCGATTTCCAAAACGTTCAACGAACATCAAACACACTGTTGTTCTGTACTCTTCAGTCCTTCAAGGCGTAGTCATATCAAAAACTCACTTGCCCAGCCAAATGTCAATGAATGGACTGCTAGTTTCACTCAGCACAAATCCGGGCTGAAATTCATTCATGCGCGAGAAGACGGCATCCGTTATATAATCGATCTACTCCGACTTTAATCCATCTGGAATCAGGCTGGCATTTTGCCTCTCAAACCAGTTTTTACTACGCTTCTGAAGCATACTGCAACGAAAGGCATGGTCAGATAACTCTTTTAAAAAAGATAAACGAGTAATGGCAAACACGGGTAAAGTATCACAAACTTCACGGCCTCGCACTTAAAGAGCAAACTGCCGGAAAATAAACCTGGAAGCATCGATTGGCAAACCACGTGATTATTTGGATGCAAGAATTTAAGATATAACCCTCTTCCAGACAACAGTAAAATAGACTGCAGTCTTATGATGGATAACACCAATTAATTTTCCTACTGCACAGAAGAAACCCAAGTCTACGAGAAATACACTCATTTGCAAATCAATTTGGTTTTCACGAGGGACTCAACTGAATCTCTCGTTTTTGATATTCTACAACTGAATATGCTGCACACAGGCCGCCTCATGATTCAGTTGGGTTCAAGTAGAATATAAGGTTGACGGAAACTCGGGGACTGTGCCCATCTGATGAGCCCCAAGAAGGGTAAAACCGGTCGTGGGTTGCCCATGAGTTTTCAGCAACCTTGCGAGCAGTTTCCTTTATGAAAAAGAAAATCCAACCCTACTTTATAAAAGGATTACATGGTGTATTATTCTGGGGATGTTTTAGTTCACTTCCTTCCAAACGACTTTTCAGCCAACACAGAAGGCTATATGAGGCGATCTTCGGTAAATAAACTCACCAGATGTAGGTTTTCTGCAGAGAAGTTGTGTCTCACAATCGTCTGACTCGACTGAACATTATAGCTCCGCATCACTGATCATGAACTTGTTCATATTTATATAAAAGGTATCGCTCAAATGCATTGATTGATGTCTGATAAAATTTTGACTAAATGATGTGATGAGACAGGTCAGTCATGAAGTAGTACATATTTTATTACGGATTAAACAATAAGAGGAAAAGTGCGCAAGCAGTGTCATTTCGCAAATGAGTTTGAATCAGCTATGGGTTGACGAAGGTCACGAAGATATATCGTGTTCCAGACGTGGTTGTCAAACCCTCGTGGAGGTGGGTTACTCGTCCTGGAAACATTGAGGTCCATCCGAGTTTCGACCGAACCAAGGAACAGTTGTAACGGACGAACCTGGTGCCTCCGCCCTGGAACAGAACACAATTTGCCATGGGGCAGTTTAGGGGGGGCTTATATTAAACACACAATACAGCAATTCTAACGGTGCCAGAAAGCGTACCTGGAATTCCAGTTCAGCTTCATTAAGCGCTATGGTGAGAGAGTATGAGGATGCATCGTGATGTGGTCTTAGCGATGATTGTTCATCTGGGCGATAACGAACGACAAAGTTCATCCGCGCCCATGGCTGTGAATTAGAACAAAGATAACGCTTGTTAACGCGCCAGAATAGACAAAACGAGTTTCGAACACTGGTGCAGCAGAGCAGATTTATTTGAAGATGGTCCTTTTGTAAAAGGATAACATAATGGGAACAGGTGTACTCTCGTTCCTAGAGTATCTTTTTGGAGAAGTCTCGTTGAGACTGACAGAATGGAGGACGGCTAACCAACGTCAACGTATACAGAGGTGCATATATACATACATAAATACAAAACCATCGGCACCGGAGCTTTGCGTAACCAAAGGATACTTATTATCTTTTAGCGGCTTGAAAACGTGAACAGTGAACTAATTCATGCCATTTTGTTTGTTTTTTGGTGGTTCGCGTCACTCCGGATTCGCTTAATCTGTATGCTCATCTTAACTTTTGGTAAAATTTAAACTGCACTACCTACCTCATGAACATCCTACGTAGCGGCCTAGCTCACTCACACAGTTTATGAGAAGGAGGGTGTGTTTATAATGTACGGTCGTTTCCAATGACAGACAGATTGAGCAACTGAAACACAGCTTCACCTTAGTTGTTTGTCAGAATCTGGGTGTCGATGTGGACTAAAGTTTAGTGTATGTGTGGTGTTTGACCATTTCAGCAGATCGAGTCCGAAAATGTGTTGCTAATGGATGTATGGTGCGTATTTAATCGTCTACCGAAGTTACCACAAGATATCGCTCAGAAATAGATTAGAAGTAAGGCTTTGGAAAGATGTGCCTCTCTTGGACACACAAACTGGACACTCTAGTGACGTTGGGTTGCTGACTGACTGTTACCGGTGGTCCTCGAGTATATTTAGCTTTCTCTCCAAACATTTTGTGCGTTACACTGAAGCCTGTATTCTCAGCTTAGCTTTCACCAACGTTCACATTTTATTCATCAGTTTACTAGCAATTGAGCGTCTTTTATCCATCTCACCCGTTTTGGGAAGCATCCAAACAGATATAC